CACCACCGCCCGGCCACTAAGAAGGTTTATATAAATTATATGAACTGTAATTTTTCTTAAAAGTAAAATGAAATGTTCTGCATAGAACAAAAGATATGCCTAAGCAACATATCATATTTGTACAAGGCCACTGAAAGTCATGAGTATTAGTAACAAATGAAAAAGCTTAACTCTGTAGCAGGCTGAGTATATTTCGATTTGGTATTCTAATAAGCTCAAGATTGTAAACTATTCTTATACAAAAGCAGTAATGGCAGGCAGATCTGTGTAGGAATTCTTGTGCTTCTGGTTGGCACATTATCTACTTTCTAATATGGTGAAATTAATACAGACATTTGTAAAAGGTTGTGCAAAACTATTGTATTTACAAAAATGGCACAAAAGTGAATGCAATAGTCAGTGCACATGCACACCCATTCACGTCTTCAACAAAGAAAACTGTCCTCACACACTGCAGAGAGAGGAAGAGCACTAGCTTCAGTGACAGCTGGTAAGCACTGGAGTCACACAAGTCACACCAGAACAGGCAAATATCGCCCAGGTAAGATGCTCTTATTAAAGCTGAAACAGCAGGTTTTAAGGCCGTCAAGCCCAAGCAGTTACTCAAATCTTCAAAAAGCCTTTTTAAAAAACCAGGCAGAATTAAATTGTGTCATGAAGTGTTGGTTTTATAAGGATGTTTTTCCCCTCCACTTTTTTTGGAGACAAGGTATTGCTATGTAATTTGGTCTGGCCTGACTTCGAACTTGTGATTCTCTTACTTCAACCTCCCTGGTGTTGGGTTTGCAGGTATGCACTAATCTATATGCTCTATCTGTAATATAGTCACATGAAATTAAAATCAAAATTGGGTTGGAAATCTACAAGTGTGAGTCAAAGGGACCAGTTCCATCTCAAGCAAGCAGGTGAATATGGCAACATTGTCTACACGGTTCTGGCTTTTGAGCCATAAAAATACACAAAGGATTGTGGAATCTTCCTCTGAGGTTAAGCAGAATGGCTGAGGCCAGGTATGTGTGTGTGTGTGTCCCCTGTATACAGGCCCTGAGAGACTATCTTATAAAGCAGTCAGAGTGAAGTTTAAGACTGCTTTGGAGACCCCAGTATATTAGAAGTGTCTGCCAAGGAGAGACATACAGGGAGTGGAAGCAGCCCAGGAGAGAAAAGTGTGCTGCAGTAAGCAAAGGCGGAAGGGTGAAGGCATGTAAACCCTTTGACATTAGACATGGGGGTATAAGATATGAAGTTTGTCCTGATGTATTTCTCACCTTGTTTCCTCACTATATCTTGATTCTTTCCTTTTAGAAGTATACGATTTGCTTTTTGATTTTTACAGGGGGTTACAGATAAGAGACTGACTTGAGTTTCAAGAGATCTTTGATTTTTAAACACTGTAGAGTCTGTAAAAATTTTAAGAGGAATTTTGAGGTTGGACTGGATGCATTTTACATTATAATATGGCCACAAGCCTCTGGGGAACAGGAAATGGCCAATGAAATGGGATTCTACAGGCTCATGTATTTGGATATTTGATCCTTAGTTGAGGAATTGTTTGGGAAGGATTGGGAGGTGTGATCCTTCTGGAGGAGGTTTGCCACTGGGGTGAGTTTTGAGTTTTCAAAAGATTTGAACCATTCCTGGTATGTTCTCTACCTCCTATATGCAGACGTGAGCTTTCAGATATTCTCACTGCCATGGCCGCTAAGCTTGGAAACTATATGCCCAATTACATGTTTTTATTTATAAGTTGTCTTGGTCACAGTGTTTTGTCAGAATAGTAGAAAAATAACAAAGACAAACCTTGAACAGATGATCAGAGATGAAAGTCTTATGACATCGAGGTCAAGATGTCAAAAGTGCAAAGCAGGGTTTGGGAAGTAAGTAAAATGTTTGCCAAAGAGTCATAAGGACCCAAGTTCAAGGATAAGTTCAATCCTTATCACCCACCCATGTAAAAAGCTAGGTATGGAAGAGTATGTTCATCTCAGGAGAGGCAGAGACAAGCAGATTCCTATGTCTGTTTGGCCACTAGGCTTTTAATAGGCCTACAATAGGCATAGTTTAATTAGTGAGTTCTAAGTACCAGTAAGAAATCTTGCAGGGCCTTTAATCCCAGCACACAGAAAGCAGATCGCTGTGAGTTCAAGGTCAGCCTGGTCTACAGAGTAAACTCCAGGACAGTAAGGGACACAAAGAAAAACCCTGTCTTGAAAAACTAAAACCAAAACAAACCAAAACCTAATCTCAAAAACCAAGATGGATAAGTCCAGAGCCACAATATCTGAGGCTGAATTCTGGCCCACAGTACATATGCATATACTATGCATACTGTGTAAACACACAAGTGAACTTCTGTACACACAGGCAATCTTGACATACAAACACGCACATGGCTACATACAAAAATATGTAGCACATATCACAAACATATGTAACAAGAATAAAATACTTAAAAAAAATTAAAACACCACAAAAAAAAAAAAAAGAGCCTGGCAGTGGTGGCACACATCTTTAATATCAGCACTTGGGAGGCAGAGGTAGGTAGATTTCTGAGTTCAAGGCCAGCCTGGTCTACAGAGAGAGTTCCAGGACAGCCAGGGCTACACAGAGAAACCCTGTCTTGAAACACCCCACAACCCCCACAAAAAGGAGTCTGTAAGGGATTTGTCAAAGCACCTGTAAAGACAAACATCAGACCAAAGTTGCTATACCCAGCAAAAAAGATAGTATTTCAAGACAGATACAAACTAAGACAACTCAAGACAAGGAAGCCTTAAATAAATACTTAAACACAGAGCAAGAAGAAAGTTTCAATCTTAAAACTATAAACATGTATACATTTCATGAGAGAAAAAAAGACAACCAAAAGAAATGAGAAGAAATCCATCATGTTTAACACAAACCCCTTTCAGAGACAGGAAGAAAAGAACAAACAACAATTTAACCTAAACAGAAAACAATCAATTTCACAGAAATTACCAAATCCTAATTCAGAAGTAACCTTCAATGCAAATGGCCTCAACTCACCAATAAAAAGACAGATTAGCATAATGAATGAAAAGACCTAGAGGGTAAGAAAGATGGCTTAGAGGTTAAGAGCATACAGTGCTCTGATGCTATGGGCCCGTGCATGCTGGCATTCGTACATGATCATACATAGAAATAAACATTAAAAACAAAATAAAAGTATCAAGACAAAATTATCTACTGTTTACAACTCAGCAAAGATACCCAAAGACCAAGAATCAAACGATCAAAGTCAACCTATCAAGCAAAATGGAAGCCCAATACAAATTTGCATAGCCAGTCTGATAAAACCCAAATTAGAAGTGACCAAAGTCACTAGATTTTACAACACCTTTAGTTCCTACACTTGGGAGAGGCAAGCTTATCTGTGAGTTGAAGGTCTACATATCAAGTTGCATGCCAGTTGGAGGAGCTATAAAAAAGATAAAACAGTAGCTATTGAGAAATGCTTAGTCAATCAAAGCAGTTTTCCCAAAGCAGGAAGCAGACAGATATGCTGCTGGCATAGAAACTGAGATCTTCACATCCTGATCCATAGGTAGGAGGCAAAGGGTGGGAGGGGGAAAGAGACAGACAAGACAGACCAGAACTGAGAGACTGGGCCTGGCTTGGGCTTTTGAAACCTTAAAGCCTACCCATTAAGCAAAATAAGTAGAAAGTCAAATACTTCATGTTTCCTCTCACATGCTGAACATAGATTTAAATGTTTATGTGGTGTGTGTTGGTCAGGAAACTAGGAAGGGAAATATGAGACCTTAAAGGAGGCAGAGGAAAAATGGGAATGAAGAATACATGACTTGAAAGCAGAAAACGGCACTGAGAAAGAAGAAAGGGAGGTGGGGGATGAAGAAGAGCAGCAAATAGAGAATGGATAGGAATAAGATACGGTGACATATATACATGTATGAAAATACCAAAATGAAACCAGTTAGTGTGCATATACTACACTGAAAATTAAACCAAAGGGAAGCGTTTACACTGGCTGGGGTAAAGAGGGAAACGGAAAGTCAGTCTGAATAGATACAAAATGTCATGTTAGAATTACAGTGACTGGCTAATACACAGAGAGGATGATTGCACAACACTGTAGATATATGTCACTCCACTGAACTGTGTACTTTAAAATGATAAAATTCACATTATGGCCACTTGCCACAATAAAGGAAGGAGAGGAGAAATGAAAAAAATTCAAACCTTCAATTGTTCCACTGGGAATAAAAAGAAGGTGAAATTGTCAACTTCCTAAGTATACACAAATACACTAATGTGTCTTCCTAAAATATATGGCTGACTATGAAGTAATGAGGCAAACTAGTATAAACAGGTTCATCTGACTCATATTCAGATTTCATGAAGTAATATGGTATATGAAATACTTGTATCTATAATGTAAGTCCATCACTATCTGCATCCTGTGAACAAATAACACTAATAACAGAAAAAACTTTATGTTAATTTTGCTTTGAATTCAGAGAGTAATTCATAGCTCAAAAGACTTAAACTAAGTACCAACTATGATGCTAGGCTCCCTCACAAGCTTGTTTCTCATCTAAAATCTGTGACTTAGATATGTCCTCATCTTGCTAGTGGGAAGCAGCTGAATAATTTATCAGGTGTATGCAAGCGGTAAAGATACATTTTAAAAGGTTGCTTTGAGTAATAAGTCAATGTAAGAAATGGTAAGATAACTTGGCAATTGTGCTTGGTTTTAGTCAGTTTCAACAAAAACAGCTACACTTGCCGTCTAATATGGCTTCTTTGGATGCTTTCAAGCTTTTCTCATGTTTATTGTTACTAGATTCTAATTCCACTGCAAATGGACAAAAGACTAAGTTTTTATCTTTGGAACACAAATAGGCTGTTAAGCACTGCATCATAAATAGTAAACACTCAAACAGACATTGATTTTTTGTAATTCTGAAAATAAAAATGATTTAAGAAAATTTCAGGTATTAAAATTCTCTCATCTTAAATAATCTATACCAATGGAAAAATACATATTTATTACCAACAAAGTCGAATTTACAACATAGTTTTAATCAATTACAATTTCACAAACAAGAGTGAAGTGATGCCCCTCACATGCTATAGGCTTATGTCCAAGGCTATTGGAAAGCAGCAAGAAATCTCTTTTTGGGACTGGAGAGATGGCTCAGAGGTTAAGTCTACTGGCTGTTCTTCCATAGGACCCAGTTTTTATGCCCAACGCCCATATAGCAGCTCACAACTATCTTTAACTCCACTCCTAGGAGATCTGATGCTCTCTTCCAGCCTTAGCAAGTACCAGGTATACAGACATACATGTAGGCAAAACATCTGTTCACATAAATAAATCTTACAAAAAAAAACCCTTTTTGTTTTTTTGAAAATGAGAAACCTTTTAATAGAGACTGTCCTTAGGCAAATCAATGTAAACATTTAGTCATTAAAAATATTTGTAACCATCAGGTTTTAAATATTTTATTTATCAAATTAGGCTTTTACTTGGGATTTTTACAATTTGAATGTAATTAAAAAAAATCAACAGTTGCAGAAAATGACATTATACTATGTTTGACTATTTTTAATATGATAAATGATACATAATTTATCCTTCACAGCCCAAAGTTCAATATAAAACCAAACATCAATTTTGCTCTTTGAAAGCTTATAAGCATAATATGGAATTATTTTTGGCATATGTAAACTGAAATGGATTTGCTGATGTGAGTTTTAAGTATGTTTTGTTTTTCTTTCACACTGATATGATAAAACCAAACTACATCAAGCACGTATCAGTGAAGATATTATATCAGAAATCCAAGCAACAACACAAATGTTTAGTAATACCTCTCACTAATATGCTACCAAGTTTTTAATTTTTTTGACTTGTTCATGCTGATAAAAATGTTATTAAAAATATCTTTATAGTACATATATGAGACTTAGTTTAAGAGGGAAGGGTTCTTTTACAACTTTTAAAAAGAAATACACCTTCTAAAAAAAAATTTCTAAGTGAGAGGACATAAACTCATGTTCCATTATTTTTTAACCTAATAAGAATGTAAATTTCATTGGCTATTACAATAATATACAAAGCCCAAATTTTATTCAGGCTAGCAAGTCAAAAAAATAATTTTGTCAGTACCATCAAAGATATGGTTCAGTCCACTATTCAAAGACATTTCTATTTTCTTTCAAGATTTAGTTTTTAAAAGAACAGAATATTAATTAGCATTCTCAGAGAAAAATAAATGGCTTTCAATTAATATTTTCGAGCTGGAAGAAAACATTTAGATGAGATTTTTCTAAAATATTGGGGACTTACAAATTCTAAAAACAGGATTTGAAACCAATCAATTCTTTGCCTACATTCTTTACATAGCACTGAGAAATTTCAAATACAAATTGTAAAAACTCGTATATGAAATTTTAAGAAAAATCTTACTAAAAGTAATTATAAAAATGCTTTTTAGAAATTTAAGATGTAAAATACATTTGACTTTAAATTAAACAAACAAACAAACAAACATAAAAACTCCACTACGACACTTATACTTTAACTACTGTCACTTGATTTCACTCTGCCAATGTTTGGGCCACATTCTGTATCATCTTTACCTTGTGACCTCTCAAAGGCCTCCTGTCATTTTGAAGCCCCATGTGTATATGTTTTCCCAATTCTCTGAAATAACAATAAGTTGCCTAAAACATATTTTCTACAAAAATAAGGGAACCTTTTTTTTAAACACAAAGAAATGAACAAATCTTCCGTAAATCAGCATCTATTAAGCAGACATTCCTATACTAGTTTTTAAAAACTAAATATAATACTGGAAGAAAAGTGGGACTTCTAATTCTGAGTTGCCTTTAATCTTTCAAAAGTCAGAATGTTCTGCAACGAGCACTCAGTGCTTCTGTAGTTAGTAAATGTTCTGTGAAGAAAATCTCATTCTGCCATACCTGTGATTTGCAACAAGAAATAGCTCTTTCAGTTACGACACATGAAACTACTCAAACTCATGACTTCCTGCCTCCCCCTCCTAAATGCTGAGCTAGACGTGGGCCCCACACCTGAGGGGCAGCACAAAGCTTCACACAACAATCCCGTGCTCAGAGGACTAAGACGACAAGGTCCACCAAAACTGAAGACTTAGTTTTCACTAGAAAACGTTCCAGAGTCACTGTGGTCTCCACTTCAACAACCTATTTGTCTTTAAAAGCAAGTTTCCAAAAATAACCAATCTTTCTCTTTCAATAAATCTGCTAACTTTTATTCACTTGAGCGACACGTATAAACAGTTAGACGAAAAAAACCCTCAGAAGGCCCCTCCCTTTCCTTTCACTGAGAAGGTTGAGTGAAGGTAATCCTTCGCCGACGCCTTTGAAAAGCCTTTAAATTCCATCGGTTTGGTTCCAGCATGTGAGGACCATTGTAGACAAACAATACTGTCATCTTTTCAGAATAAGGAAGATTTTGTAGAAGCTGTAAGGATTGAAACAAATTGCCATATAATTAATGTATATACTAAGAAACAAAGCTTTTCAGCCTTATATATGTTCAAATTCATCAACTCGTCAGACTATGATAAGCATATCTGAAGCCCGGCCTAATTACTGACATGAAATATCCAGCTGCATGGAAATCCTCTCTATTCACAAGTCAACTAGGACTATATACTTCTAGGCACTCTGTGGAAGAGTTGCACTGAAAACACTTCTCAAACTTCTATGGCTACACACTATACTGTGACAGACTGGTAGTTTGAAACATGTGAGGGAGGTTTGGTTTCTAAACCAAGGAGTTTGGTGGGAAATAGAATAGGGGCAGATCTGAATAGCCCACAGAACTCATAAAAGATGAATAAGTTAAAAAAATGTACATTTAGGTGGACCCTCCAATGAATTACTTATGTTTAGTTGAAAAAGGGAAAAGAGCGTGATTACTAATAAAAACAAATTTAAATATATTTACTTGATATCTTACCCACAGCACTGTATTTAACAAAAGGAAAATTCCTATTTCAGTAGTTCTAGATTATGGAAAATTCTCTATTAAGATTACGATGCTGTTGTAAAAGCTGATCTCTCAGTACAAGACACTGGGTACTTAGGGCCAGGGTAGTGGCAGTGGGCAGTCAGGACAGGAGCAGTATGTGGCTAGAGAGTTCTGGGGCTTGTATTCCCAGCAGTCTCTTAGCAAAAAAGAGCTTTTTACCAAGGGCAATGAGTATCAGAAGCAAGAACGAAGTCTAAGTTCTGGAACATTATGATGTACCTCCTCTATCACTTCCTTAGATGACAGACGACGTTTCCAACTATGTATGTCACTCAACTTGTCCCTCCTATGTATGTAAACATTACCATAATCTGTTAGCTTCACTGTTAAGAGTTTTCCTGCTCATATCTACATCTCAGCCGCAATCTGTTCCAAAATTAAGACACAGGGGGGCATCTAAGCGCATGACTCCTGTGAGTGTATCATTACTGACCTTCGGTGTGATGAAGAAATACTGGGATGTGTTCTCTTTACAGGCAGTGTTCACAACCATTTCAAATACTCTCCGCTCATTAATTGGGTCCATACCCTAGAAACATAGAAGCAATGACTGTTACATTTGCATCTATTAGAGGGTGCAGCTCCCCCAATAGAATTACTGTACCTGATTAATTTCATCAACTACTCTGAATGGACATCTGTTAAGCTCCTGAAGTGCCATCAAGTATAGCATGGTAGAAACACTTCTTTCACCTCCACTCTGATGATGAGGAGTTAATTCATGCAGCTGAGTACTACTGCGAAATTTTACTCTAATCCGGATTCCATATTTATCATAATCTTCCTGTAAATCATAAAAAGTTGAAAAGTGAGTGCTTTCTCTGGTAATTTCACTCAATATTTACAAATATACCAATCATAAAAGTAAATGTAAACAATTACTCCCTAAACAATTTAATAGTCCCCAAGTGCCTACATGGATGTGCATATACACAAGTATAAATTTTAATATAAAAAAAGATTGTATTTCATGTTCTATAACTTTTGTCAACTCTGAGACCAACTCTAAGGTTTATTTACTCCTCTTATCCATTCCAGGTCATTCAGATTCAGATTTACCGTAAGAGTGAAGTATCTAACACTAGTTAAAAGCTAACTAGTTAAACGGTCTAAGTGTCTAATCAAGAGAGATACAGTACAAGAAACAGGTAATTCAACAGTCATAGTTTTAAAACATATAAAGAAAATAGGTAAAATTAACTTCAATTGTATATTTTATTTAATTTTTATATTTTCCCATATTAAATCTTTGAAGTTATATGTATGTAGCATGTATTCATAGCAGAGGCCTAAGAGCAGCAAAAAGTGTTTTATTTATTCACTATTTTAATTTGGGTATCATCACTTAATTATAAAGAAGGTGTGGCAATTACTTATGGATGAAACAGAATGCCAGTGGAATGGGCCGGTTCATGCGATGCCACTTCAACAGTGGTTCCAGTCCACATTCTTTGTAAGACTGTCACCACCCCTAAGTGATGCCATTTATAACTGATGTGGTGTCTCCATATTTTAGAGGAAGAATTGTGTATCAACTCTCACACTAAGTGGCTGAATCTTACTACCCTTTCCTTTAGATACATATCCATAGCTACTATTGGTGCTGGCAATCCTTTTCCTTGAGTCGTTTCTGGAAGTATGCTGCCCCCATTGGTTACAGTTTTGGCTGCCTTACTTTCAACAATACTTTGTCAAACAGCACAAGACGCTTTCTCAAAGCTTGTCCTGCCAAGTGTGGACTCTGTTCTTGCTCTGCTACTGTAAAGAGACCCTGTGTTTCATTCAGTTCTCACACATAAGAAAGCAAGATCTTCCTTTATGAACCACAAATTGCTTCACCCATAAATACAAAAGGACTCAGGTAACGCCTTAAAAATTTAGAAACAGTACTTTTAATCTGTTCACCTTCCCTTTGAACTCCCTTACCCGAAGAAAACAATGACATTACTATAAAAATTTGTAATGGTTTTAATTTCTAAGTTACTTTTAAACCGTATTTCTTCATTGTCATTGATGGCCCTTTTTACTGCTCATTCTAGTCTAGCTTCTTCCATCTCACTGAAGGCTCCAGTTAAAGAAGCCAGTTCTGGACCTACTACTGAGGAGGCCAGAACAGAAAGGGGACAAAGGGAAAGGCTGAGAAGAGGGAAGGTCAGAAAGAACACACTGAAAGGGAAGAGAAGTTTTTCTAGAGTAGTGAACTGAAAACAGATTACTGAGAACAGTACAAGATGAAGGAGGAGCCCCATGCAAAAGATACAATTATAAATGGATGGGATTTCTGTGACACAGGCCTCACCTAGTCTCTTTGACCGCATTTATACCCCACACAGTCAAGCTACTGACAAACATCCAATTGTTACTTTCGGCAGGATGATGTTGCCAGTAATCAAATTTATCTAAGAGCTTAGGCTCTGTCTAGGATTAGATAAGAAGTCTGATTTTTTGCCACTTGATAGCAATGTGACCTTCAGTAAAATTACCATAAGTTTCAGTTTGTTTTTTAAGTAGGACAGACTTAAATTCCGGCTTCATAGGATAGTTATAAGAGATTAAACAGCTGGGGGTGGGGTGGTGATGAATGCCTTTAATCCTAGCATTTGGGAGACAGAGGCAGGTGGATTTTCATGAGTTTGAAACCAGTCTGGTCTACAAAGTGAGTTCTAGGACAGTCAGGGCTACACAGAGAAACAATGCTTCAAAAAACCAAACCCAAATCCAAACCAAAAAGATGATCTGAAGAGATTAAACAAGATAAACTTAGGAAAGGAAGCATATCAGAAATATCCACCCATTTCTTAGTTGCAAGGCAAGGTCTGTGTGGTAACTGCTATGGAAGAGTCTAAAACCTCAAACCTAGGACTTATAATAAAATGGTATTTCACAGGTATGCTTCATATGTAGCAGACAGGAGCCTGTGAGCCAAACTCCTCAAAGAACAAAATGGTGCTATTTTGTCTTATATGTAAAAAAATGAAAATGACCATTTGCCAAAATCTAAAATTTTAAAGATATTAAAATATTCTTAATAACTTGACTGTTATTTAAAATAAATTTCACCTTGAAAACATTTTGACACATACAAGTGAGAATAAATGACCTTAGTGTACCAGCAAAAACTTTGAACTAAGATCAAAAGATGGCTAGCCTTTTGTCACTTACACTCCTACCCTACTGATTCTACTTTCCCAATTATTTTCAAAGAGATCCAGTCATTCCTTCTTCCTTCTCTTACTCGCTTATAGTGCTGGGAACTGAAGTCAGGGGCTCATGTAGCTAAGCATACATCATCATCATTACATCTCCAGCCCTTCTTTACATAATTTTTCTTAATGAAAAATTTGTTTTATTCAAAATAGCAGTGCATAAAACTGTAGTTCAAGGAATTAGCATATTACCTATTATCTTCTAAATTTGTGATAAATAAGAAACTAAGAAAACCCAGCATGGAAGCAAGGTAGGTAGAGGCAAGATCGTCAGGAGAGTTCAATGTCATCTTTGCCTATACCACAAGTTCAAAAAATTAGAAAATACCCCTAACACAAAAAACAAACTCAACCTCATTAATATAAACTATATTTCAGTTGCGTTTGCTCTGAAGTTGAGCAGCGGTACATTTATAAAGCACTGTACTCAGTCGACATAGCTGAATAATCATCCCCTCATACTGGCTGAAAAACAGCAAGGCATTAGCCACTTCAAAAAACACCACCCCACCCCTAAACCAAGCAAATCTAACATTAGAAACCCATAGGTGGTCTCTTTCCTCTTTCCTTTACTGAAAAAATAATTTTTCAGTAAGCAAAATTTTCATGTATAATTCCAAAGTAAATAAATTTACATGTACCCCTTGGACATAATTAAAATTACTGGTCATAAAATACATCTCAAATGCAATTACCTCGTTTTCTGTATGAAGATCAACTTCACCAGCACACTGCATGGAACTAAAAAAGTTGCTGAACTTCTCATTGATTTTTTCTACTAGCTCCTTTAAGGGGTTCAGCCACCTTTCTTTCACCTACAAGTAAGAGACAAAACAAAACCACAAACTGAAAGCAGTATTATCCATTCGGATATAAAACTTTACACAAAACAAATTTTATAATAGAGTCAATCTGGTTATAAAAATACTTTTTGTCTCAGGAGCATAAAATTTATTTTGTGTAATTTGTACGCTCATCCCATTAATGGTAAAGACATAAGAGAAAGGACAAAAATTACCTGTGAAATGTTTTCCCTGTATTCATCTAGTTCAACTTTCTTCCCTTCTAGTTCTTCATTTAACTGCTGTATTTCTATTTCTCTTTTTGTATACTCCTCAACGACCTGTTCAAAACAATTCTTTAAGAAAAATTTATCAAAAGATAAAATATATATAAAAATTTGCATTAATTAAACTACAAGCTAAAACTATCATTGTGTTGCATTATTTGTATACAATTAATTTGTTACTGAATATTCAAAGTCTTTTTAATCCTTAAAAAAATACACACTGCTGTACTTCAAGTTAACTCAACTATTCTTTTTATAAAGAAAAGGCACAGAACACTGTGTTCCTTAGGAAGAGTATTTAAAATTCTAATAGATTCAGAATCTGGCATTTAAGGCATTGTTCCTGCTGTCTAGCTTATTATTACCCAGAGCTCCAGTACAGTGTGGGAGGCAAGTACTGGAAAGAACTGTGTGTGTGTGTGTGTGTGTGTGTGTGTGTGTGTGTGTGTGTGTGTGCGTGCACGCGCGCATAGGCATGTAGGTATGCATGTGTGCACTGAGGAAGATAGCAGTGTAAGGAGTATAGGATGGAAACAGAGAAAGAGGCATACCAAAGGACTCAGTCCTGTGAAGCAAGAAGCTCTTGATCTTTCTTCAGTTAATAATGCATCGATTTCATCCAATGTGTTTGGGAGATCTTGAAAAGCCTAAAGAGGAAAAAAAAACTATCATTAAAAATGGAATAGTGAAAAGTTTTATTAGAACAGTTAAAAGAAAGTAATTTGCTACATATCTTCTATCTGATTAATAGCATGCTAGCACACAGCAATACAAAAGAATTTTAAAGAGGACATTTTCCCTTTAAAAAGCTTACACTTTAAAAGATGTATACATGTTGGATAGTACCTTACGGCAATGTATTGATGTTGAGTCTAAAATAAGCAGTACATATCACATTGGCTTTGGAATACAAAATAATGAAGTGTCAGTTCATGCTACATGAGAATTAAAAGAGCTCAAAGGCCTAAAATTTATCTCTGGGTCTGAAAGCAATGGCTAGGGAAAAGCAACGCAAAAAGGAGATAACAATTTGGAAAGAAGAATGAGTACTGCATACCATGGGGGGTGAGGAGCTGTGTCCATTTGGAATGGTGGGTACTTGCTGAATTGGTAGAATGGGTCCAGAATATGTGGGGCATTGAAAGAGAGCAAGAAGTTAGAGCTTTATACTGTACTTATGAAGACCTACAAAAGCATCCTTACAACTCAATCACTGAGACAGAATTTCATCAAGACTATCTTCTGAACCTATGCCACAGAAACTCACTAGGGTAGACACTTTCCTACAAAGAGAGGCATGCAGTACACTGTTTTGTCTAGCACAACCTGCAGAGCCCTTACAGTAAAAGGTATGCAATCTGAAACCTGAAAAAAGGTTCTGATGAGTTATATATATTAACTGGATAATCTTGATTTGTATCTTTTTTAAATCTTTGGAACTCAGTCCAATCTCTGCAAAGGCCTCTAGGTATTTGTTATGTACGTGTGCTACATTCTCAACTTGTCTGTTGAGGTGTGAGCTTATGTTCCAGCACTTACTTGGTATCTTCACTGGACTCTAACAGGCATACTAACTTTATAATACTGTAACATAATTTCTACTTCATCCACTTTCCCCACCACTGTAAGTAAACCAATTTCTCATCAATAATTAGCTTGACAGTTTGTTCAGGCAAAAATTTAGCAGTTCTTTCTTACCTCTGTCATGTCTATCACTGAAGTCAAGTTCCTTCCTCCCCCATCCCTTTGTGCTACTGCATTAATCTCTTCCCTGGTCAAAAACAATAACCCTAGGGGGGGCTTCCTCGCTTCTTTTCTTAAAGTTCTATTCTTCATAGAGTAGCTAAGAGTATTCACCTATAAACTGATTTTAATAACAGTATCCTTGTGTTTAAAATCCTCCAGTGGATTCTATCTTAAAGAGAACAGAGCCCAGGGTAAGGGATACAGATTAGTGGTGGAGTACTTGCCTAATCTCTGAACACTAAAAAGGGGTGGGGGGATGCAAACTCCTTGCATAATCTGTAAGGTCATATTAATCTGAACTATGCCTTCTTCTCTGCTTGGAATTTTTTTTTATTTTAAAAAAACAGTGTTTCTTTGTTGTAGCCTTGGCTTTCCTAGAACTATGTAGCCCAGACTGGCCTCAAATTTGGAAATCTATCTTCCTCTGCCTCCTGAGTTCTGGGATTAAAGACATGTTCACCACCAGGCTGGAATGTAATTTTAATCCCACCAAGGTTTCTTTTAATACATGGCAAATACATATGTATCTCAGAGGCTTTGTATGAGCTACTTCACTGCTTGGGGTACATTCCTACTTGACTGAAGTCTTTTCTTCACCCAGGACTTATCTAAAATAGCAACATTTCAAATAAACATTCCCTAAGCAGCTGCCCATCCTTGTGACGTTAGCCATCACCTTTATTTTCCTTATTTTCTCTTGCTGTCTGATCTGATTATCTGTTTCATGTTGCTTGGTCCATCCTCCAAACTAGAGTTCAAGTTTCAGTAAGGAATGTATGTACTACTTAATAATTGGTCATAGCAGCTAATATATTTTAACAAATATATTATTTCCTGATTTCATTCTTTCGAAAACAGTGTGACTTCTAGGGAGGCAGGGTTGAAAAAGAGTTCAGTTCTATCTGTAGGCATTGAACTTGGGATCATCCTGCCTCCACCTCCCAAGTGATGGTATTATAGACAACTGCCACCATGCCCAGCATAAAAAAAAACCCTGCAACTTATAGTATATAATATATATCACCTTATTAAAGCAAAACATATTTTAGATGCATTCTACAATTATCTTTAAAAACAAACCTCTCAATTTTTCTGCTAAATTCTTACTCTGTATCCAAACAAACCCATGTCTTATGGTTTTCTGAGTTTAGTAGTATAAAATAAAACCTTCCAGGGTATGACAACTATAATCTATACTAGCCTTTTTCAATGCTTAGTGGGCATTTCATCATCTATGAAAGTTGATACATTTAAGATTTTAAAAAGTACACACTACTATTTAAAATGCATTTGTGGCTATTTTGATATTACTTTGAGTAGGTATGCAGAAAAGGTTTCAATGTCAGATAAAGCCTAGGAACACAAGGGACAGAATGAATGGTGGAGTGTGACTGAAAGGTAGCATTGCTTAGACTCTGACATACCAGCATATAACTGAAAGAAGGTATCATCTCTGAAGATTTAGCACCTGAAAACCCCTAATTAAAGATAGACTTAAAAAAAAAAAAGGAAACAACCACTTGCCTTTGTCTTTTTCAATATTCCTCTTGCTTACTGTTTGCCAAATACAAATTACTTACTAGTTTCCACAAAAGTTTTATACTCCAACGATCCCTCTCAATGATGGTTAAGAGGGAAAGACTTTAATTGTGAAAATGAATGTTATGTTGTCATTTTAAGATAATGGCCATACTTTAAAACTAAGCAAAGACTAGTGACTATTTCTTAGAGGAAGTAAAGTTAGACAAAGTCACTTTGTGTATCTGATCATGGGTATAAGAATGGGAAAGGCATGGTCTGAAGTACCGCTTGTGTTTTCATGTCCTGTGATTATGCACAGGATAGGACATCTCAAACTTAAGAATCCTGTAATGTCAAATGCAGCATTATTTATTTTTATACTTACTGTCTGAAATTCCTGGGGAACGGCTTGGTCTGCACTCAGGTTACATACTTGCCTAGCTCTCTTCATAAGTTCCTTGCACTTCTGTAATAATCTCTGTCTGTTGTCATCCAATTCAATGAACTGTTGCTGCAAAAAAAACAGTAAATATTTCAGAATGTTACTACTAAATCAGAGGCTTGTTGTATAAAACAATCACATATCCAATAGATTACTGATTTTTGATTATGATAACCTGTCATTTGAACCATGACTTTTTTATTAAAAAAACGCATTAGCCTTTTATTATGAAGGTAAAAATTTAAAGTTTAATATCAGAGCCAGTATTTCTCTAATATGTAAGAACTCTAAAGTTTACTTTTGTAAATGTTTAATTTTAATGAAATATTATCATACACAGGCTTTATATAAGAAAACATAGCATACAAATATTAATTTAAAAATTACTTTTAATAACTTGTATGGGTGCTTCCCACCTAAGTTTTCTCTCCCCATCCTTTCCCTACTCCCCATCCCCATCCCATTTTGGGGAGGGAGGGCTGTAGAAACAGGGTTGTATGTAGCCCAGGCTAGCTTCAAACTTGTTACATTGCCAAGAGTGACCTTGAAATCCTGATCGTCCTGCTTCCTGAGTAAGGAAATTACAGTCACATAGCCCTACCTTGTATCTCTTATCTCCCACAACACTACACAGTAACAAGATGAAAAGAGGGATGGAGAGATGGCTCACAACTGCCTATAACACCAGGTCTAGGAAATCCTCTGGGCTCCACGTGCATATACCCAAGCCCCTAAAATACATATATTCAAAAAGGCAAAGTTATTTATTTATTCATTCACTCACTTTTTTATTTATGTTTCTCTGTGTAGTCTTAACTGTCCCAGAACTAGCTCCGTAGACCAGGCTATCCACGAACTCAAAGATCTGCTTACCTCTGCCCCTTGAGTGCTGGAATTACAGGTGTGTGCCACCACCACTAGGCCAGATAAAGTTATTTTTAAAAAACTATTTAATAAACCATTCAAGTTCACACATTTAGAGATTATAATAACTCCCATTCATGCTTGCCTGTAAGAAACCCTACTCACTGCGTTGTGGGATCTTGTCTCATAGTAACATCAGACACATATAGTCTCACCAACATGACTACCCAAACGTGAGTTAAAGCCCATGGAGCCTCAGGCCTGCACAAGGCCCACAGGTAACCAGTAAAGGTGGGAGCAGATAAGGTGGTTCTCCCCAGAGAACAAAAATTGCTTCTCCAGTGTCACATGGTCAGACCCACAAACATACATACAAGTAATACATGTATGTACTCAATAGGTTATATTTGGAAACACACACACTGGATTTATATATGTGGGTATGTATATAAAAATACATGTATACATGCAGTAACAACTGATGAAAAAAAAAAACCATGAATCTGAAGGAGGGAGGGAGCATATGGGAGAATTTAGAGGGAGGAAAAGGGAACAATGTTGTAATTCTAACATATTCTCAAAAACAAACAAACCAACAGACTACATTTAAATATCAAAGGGGCGGAGGAGAACGGCTTATCTTGGGAAAGGGTTTCCTATGTCCAGGCTCACTTCAAACTTACTATGTAGCCAAGGTTAGTACTGGACTCCTCATCTTTCTTTCTGCTTCTACCTCACAAGGGCTGCCACTCTAAGCTACTGTGCTTGCCCTATACAGCACAGGCTCCGTTTGTTATAATAAATGCTTTTCAGTGGAAGAAGTATGGATGCACAGAGTGTATAAGTAGGAAATAGAATATATAATGGAGGTCAGAGTGATTGCAGAAGCTGTGCCAACTGCACAGCTTTAATGGGGGAAATTACTAAGAACTAGTTATGAAGAAAGATTTAAAGATAGATGATAATGAATATATAGGCACAGAAGCCTCAAAGATACACTCGGTTAGTCAGTCAAATATGACAGGAGGGGAGGCATCTATAAGGATGTAACAATTTAGCCTTACTGAGGTAGACAAAGGCTAGCCTTTCAAGTTTCATCTAATCTACCTAATGCCACTTCTAGACCGAGTACTATCATAACCATCACTCCACACATTAGACAACCTTAGGAAATGTGCTATCTTTTAAATGTGGCTGAGAGGCACCGAGAAACTTGCTCGATGTTCTATGAGGAGGTTTCTAATAACGAAACCATGTTTATGTCACTCTGTAGAAAACTATAAACTAATTTCCCTAAAAAAAAAAACAATAAAAACAAACAAACCCCCAAAACACTTAAGGGGTTGACGCCCTAGTTATACTTCATGACTATGTGATTAACATCTCTGAAGGACTTGGAGAATTCGATCATTAACAAAGTCCTTGGGTAATTCAGTTTGACAGTAAACAATGAGATAAAAGTATAAAAAGTAAAAGGTTATATACTGTATTGAACTAAAATAAAAGTAAGCCTTTTTCTAATTACTAGCCTGAGAGAAATAAAAGAACTATTAAAGAAAACAAGCCATTGAAAAACTAGGTATGGGCTGGGCGGTGGTGGCACACGCCTTTAATCCCAGCACTTGGGAGGCAGAGGCAGGCGGATTTCTGAGTTTGAGGCCAGCCTGGTCTACAGAGTGAGTTCCAGGACAGCCAGGGTTATACAGAGAAACCCTGTCTTGAAAAGCCAAAAAACTAGGTATGGATCTGAAAAAAACAAAAACAAAAACAAAAAACAAATTAAAATGTGTTCAACATCCTTAGCATTCAGATAAATGAAAATTAAAACTATTTGAGATTCCATTTTAATCCAGTTAGAAGGCTAGGATCAAGAAAACAACTGACAACAAAGGCTGTTAAGAATGTGGAGAAATGGGAACTTTCATTCACCATTTTGCAAACTGGTGTAGCCATTCTGGAATTCGTTGTAGAGAAGTTACACCTAAAAAGCTAAAAACAGATCTACACGTGACCCACATGTAGGCTGCTGCTTGGCAAATGTCCAAAGGACTTTCTATCCTATTAGAGGTGCTCGCTCAGATATGTTCACAACTACTCTATTCACAACTGCTAAGAACTAGAAGCAGTCTAGAATATCATCAGTATATGGATAATAAATTCTATTCAGCCATAAAGAAAAACAAAACCTGTAGGTAAATGGATAGACTATACTAGTATATTATACTTAAGTGAGGTAGATGAGACCTGGAAAGGCAAATGTTGTATACATTCTGCTTTATCTTTATCTAAATGCTTAGATCTGAAATGTCTCTTTGGTTAAGAGCACTTGCTATTCTTGTAGAGTAACCTGGGTTGTTCTCAGTACCCACAATGAGGTTCACAGGCATACACAGTACACCTACATACATTCAGGCATTCAAATATATATACACAAAATATCTTTTTTTTTCTCTGTGTAGTCCTAGCTGTCCTGGAACTCGCTCTATAGACCAGGCTGGCCTCAAACTCAGAGATCCACCTGTCTCTGTCTCCTAATTGCTGGGATTAAAGGTGTGTGCCACCACAGCCTGTCTTACAAAATAATTTTTAAAAAACAAACCATACGGAAACATTATTTTATAAACTTAATGCAAATATAACCTGTGCGTGTGTACTTTATGTGGAATTATGTCACATTGGGTGATAATGTTCCTTAAAAGACTATCTAACAAATATAAATAGCCAGTGTCAGGCTAGGAAATTAAGTTGTTGGAAAAGAGGTGTTTAAGAAATACCTCTTTGAAGGGTGCCTAGGAGACCCTCAAAACAATATGGATGATTGCCATTGTCCTTGTCTACCTCCCAGAACTTAAGGTTAGACACTATGAAGATACCACACACTCTAGACACAGGACTTGGAAGTATCCTCTTTGAAGATTAGCTCTTGTGGTATGGGAAGGAGCTATGCATGCTGCCCAGGGAGAAAAGTACTCAAAAATTTTATCCATTTGCTAACTGTTGTGAAGCACACAGTCATCAGCTGGGCAAGATATCTCCAATGGTGTGACAATGACATTTTATATCATTAGGATAACAACAGCCATTTGACTGTACTTAAGGCCTGTTCAGTATAAGGGAACTCATGGCTGGTACTGTAAACCTAGCCAACTACTCATACCTAGAGATGTTACAGGCCCCAGAGGAGAAACTACTACTGTCATTCTTCTAAACCAATATAATTTCTAACTGTATTCTAGAGCAGCTGTTATCCTTCATCAAAAAAGCTTCTTTCTGCAGCAGTTAGAGGCTTCTACAGAGATCTACAATTCGTTAAAATGTAGAGTAAGTGAATCAGGGATGTACAGACTAATCAGCACATCTCTAACACAACCCTTATACCTCGGCCTCAGAAGATGAGAGTGGAAATATTTTTAGAACCAGAAGACTGGGATACTTACTCTGAGGTACTGGATGCGAGAAGGATGCTATAGCCACAAAATCTCAAAAATATAACTGACTCTATAAAACATGCATAAGGAGCATACCAGTGAATGGGAAAAATGCACAAAGCTCCACACCCAGATGAAGGCAATCACCCAAGCAATGTCGGCTGAAGGGCAAGACCTCTTATAGGTTCTCCAGTCTCAAGTGGTCAGTCCTAAATTCATGTACATATGAACATCACTAAATGTATTCAGTAGGTTGTATATACACACAGACCACACACACAAAACATGCATATGTGTTTGGGGGTGTGTGTATACGTGTATATGTTTATGTATGTAATAAATAATTATAAAAAAATGAAGTGATGAAGTTGAAAGGAAATTGGGGAATACTAAAGAAGTTAGAAAGGGAGTAGAGTCTATACTCTATACACCGTATTCATCCATGAAATTGTCAGAAATTTTATTCAAAAATAACAAAAGATATGGGGAGAGAGGGAACAGCCAAAGACAATTTAAGTAAGGAGCTCCAATCACTTTAAGCCACAATTCTTGTTGATCCTTGTTGGCGGAACACAGAGAAAAAAGAAATATCTATTTATAGAAGATTAATCAAAAGGCTTTATTTGAATTCCTGATCTTAAATAGTTAACTGAATATAGAGAATAATGTATCTATCTGGCACAAAAGAATGGGCAAAACTTATAAAATACCTTCAATTAGTAGTTCAGAAACCTTAAGTATATATCTTGAAGAAACAATTATTACCTTTTCTCTGAAATTCTTTCTCTGGAAAGTTGAATTGTCTTAAAAGTTATACAGAAATAGCTTGACTAATATTAAAGAAGAAAAAATTTTTCCTGGAAGGCCCTCTTGTGGAAGAAGAATGCTGTACATTTTCCTTTATTTGGGAATCCCAGATCTAAATGCTTAGATTTGAAATGTCTCTTTGGTTAAGAGCACTTGCCACTCTTTAAGGGTAACTAACCTGGGTTGTTCCCAGTATCCACACAAAGGCTCACAGGCACCTGTAACTCCAGGTGCACAAACCCAATCAATACATCTACAACACAACCCTTATACCTAAGGTTCAGAAGATGGAGTGGGGGCTGGAGAGATGGCTCAGCAGTTAAGAGCGCTGACTGCTCTTCCAGAGGTCCTGAGTTCAATTCCCAGTAACAACATGGTGGCTCATAACCATCTGTAATGGGATCCGATGCCCTCTTCTGCTGTGTCTGGAGACAGCTACAGTGTACTCATAAAATATATATATGTATAATACATATATGAAGATAGAGTGAGAATAGAGGATCTCATGCCCTCTGAGGCCACCTGGCACACACAGTGCACATCCATCCATCCATCCATCCACTCACATATATATTGAAAATATTTTTTTCTTCTCAGTCTTCACTATTTAAAAAAATGTGATAAATGAACAATAAATTCCCTAGAATTATTCAAAATAATTAACTGGGTTTTCTAAATACTCTCTAGGCTAATATGACTGTCTTCCAAGAATCACTTTAAATTTGCTTAGACATTCTAATCTCCTTGACATACTGCTCCATCATGTATGGCCACTTAAGTGTCTTCATTTAGGTTCAGATTGTGTTTTGCTGTCAAGCATGACAAAAATCATGGTTTATCTAGGATTATTTACACAGACATTTCTTTTCTAGATTTGAAATCAAATATTTTTTCCAATGAGCTGTTTTAGTACAAAACAGCATTTAGAGACCATGCAGATAAAATGAAGAAATGTTTGGTTTGCTTTGGGTATTTGTGTGTGATTTTCTTTTTTTTTTTCTTTCTGAAACAAAAGTCCACTATGTAGTACTACAGGTGTCCTCAAGCTGACTCTCTTGACCCACTGTCCTGAGTGTGGGCATTAAAGCCATGTACCACCATGCTGGGCTTGTCCTCCCAGTCCCATTTAGAGAAAACACATTGTGAAGTTATTTTGGTCATTTCCAACTCAAACTTTTCAAGGTTTTTATTAATTCCCATCTTTATTTTATACTGAAGCTGTTTTCTTTTAGGCTAAAATTCCTAATAGCATCATTTATCTCCTCACCTTTACAAAAAGAACATCACAGAGATTAACAGCTTAATTACTTAAAACAGGTAAAGATTCTCTTTGAAATTCTTTAGAACTGTTTAGAATCAATCTTTTTTGGAATAATTTTTTTCAGTAAATCTATGCTTCTAAGCCAAAGATGTTAGAATTTACTTAAAAAATTTTAGTAGAGAAATTATAGACATTTAAAGTTAATAATCTGATTGACATTTCGCTACTTGCTTGAGATGGGGTCCATGCTGCCTATGCTGGTCTCAAACTCTTAAGCTCAAATGATCCTCCAGCCTCAACCTCCAAAGTGCTGGGATTATAGTCACAATTCTGCCTGGCCTGCATTCTGTGTTTTGTATTTGTAAATAGAACAACAATTCTTGAGTTGTACTGTCCCTGCTCTTAACAGCTCTTCTTTGTACATTACCATTCTCTTTTTACAAGCACTTTACATGATATTCATACCTCCCTACAGTCTTCTGGGAGAAAGGTTATCTATCGGGTCCTCCTAATAAACAATCCTTATTTCCATGCCTGAAAGTATCAACTCACATAAAAATACTGATAATATCTAAAAGATAGCAAATATATACCATTTGATTTGTAACTTTCATTCCTTTTCAGAGAATTAATATATTAGACTTATAACCACACAGTTATAGTACATGTATAATGTAGTTCTTATTCTTTTCAGTAAGTTTTGTTTTTCAAAGGAGTTTGAGATTCTTGTTTTTTTTTTTTTTTTTTTTTTTTTTGGTTTTTCAAGACAGGGTTTCTCTGTGTAGCCCTGGCTGTCCTGGAACTCAGAAATATGCCTGCCTCTGCTCTAAGTGCTGGGATTAAAGGCGTGCGCCACCACTGCCCTGCGGAGTTTGAGATTCTTAAGTCTAGACTGCTGCATTATTAGACTGCTGTTGTCTAGTCCACTATTTGTAGGATTTCTTTGTCTCTCCTGGTTTCAGCTCTTTTCATATTGGACTGCTGAGTTTTCCACAATTAAGAGGGCCTCATCTCTTTAGAAAAGAAATCCTGCTGGCAGTTTGCTTTGAAGTTCCTACTGACTTATGCTGCTAAACTGTACTCTGGAATTCTCAGGTGGAAATGAAGAATATGATTAGCTTTGAAAATCAATACCAAAAGACTATTTTTTATTCAAGAATTCCTTGGATTACACCTGAGTTTATTTTAAGGGGAGAAGTTAGAATTTACTGGGTGAAGAAGAAGTCAGTGGGCAATGCCAGAAAGACCGATCTTATGGTTAGAAAGTTTTGAATCATATAACATCACCACAACTCCCTAAACTTAAAAGAGGAAGTCTGGATACTGAGTGCAGCACAGGCTAATGGTGCAATCATGCACAAATGGTGTAATAGAAACTCAGTAGAATCCCGGCAGCTTGGGGGAGCTTCCTGGCTGGTAAGCACAAAGAATCATTAGGAGAGAGACATACAATTCCTCATTAAAAGAGTACAAAAACTCTCTCAGATATTGTTCTGTGTGTCTCTTTATGAAAAGTCAGTGTTATTCACAGGTCTGTGCTTTTTTAGTAAACGACTAAGCATGAAGGGGTCATGGTCAGTAAAGATGGCCTAGGATCCTTGAAATTAAAAAAGCCAGTGTATTAAGACAGAACAGTCTACTGGGATATTCCTTATAAATTGTTCAATTTGGTACTAACTGTATGTGGTTAGCATCAAAACAGGACTTTAAGACATCAATAAGGATTTCTCAAAGTTTAGTTTTGTTACTGCACAGGTCTCCCATGGATGTTTAAAATACCAAGTGTTCTATTCTTGAGAAAGTAATTTAGAGATTAAAATACTAAGTAACAACAAAAACAAAAATAAAAAATAACTGTCACCATCACCCTGACATCACATCTTTAGAATTAAGTTTGTGTATTTTTCATATTTCTTTCCCCTGCACAATTTTATCATCTATTGTGAAATATTAAAGTTAAGGTTAAACTGTAGTGATTATTCATCTATCCACTTTTACATCCTTCAAGTATTGCTTCCTCATTAAAAAAATACTAAGTTTCATTTTATTAATGATGATTATTACTGTGTCTGAGAGCGTAGGTGTAGACACACTAACTCTGTGCAGTTAGCTTTCTCCTACCTTTTCCTAGGTTTGAGAGATTAAACTTTGGTCACTGCCATATTGTGGGAAGTGCTTTTCTTTAATAAACTACCTTGATGGCCTCTAAATTTGAAATTACATAGTATACAACAACTGGACACTGAAAATAACAGTATGTGATTTATACTTTTAAACTGGTTTGAGGCCCTAAAATAAAAAAAGAAGAGAAAAATATCTTACTTCTGTGACGCGCAGCTGGGAAGATGATGCCATGTAATCTGCTTCTAATTTGTTCTTCTCAGAGATCACTGTAGTATTTTGAAGAATCAAATCAACTTTTTGAATATGCAAAGAAGTGCAAATCTAGAAACAAACAACCCATAAGATTTCGGTTTTTTTTTGTTTTTTTCCGAGACAGGGTTTCTCTGTGTAGCCCTGGCTGTCCTGGAACTCACTCTGTAGACCAGGCTGGCCTCAAACTCAGAAATCTGCCTGCCTCTGCCTCCCAAGTGCTGGGATTAAAGGCGTGTGCCACCACCAACCGGTGATTTTGGTTTTTATGTTGTCTAAATTGCCTAAGTTTTACAACGAAAAGCCATAGTTCTTTTTTTTTCAAAACAAAATTATGAATCATGAAAAATTAACCTCTTCCTGTGATTGACATCTCTATCAAATGGCTAATATAAAACTACTTTAAGAAGTTACTTCCTAAATATTTAGGTTATTTGAAAGAAAATAATTTAACCTAATGAGTTAACTTTTAAAATTCTCGGTAAGCATTAAAACCTAAACAAGCTGAAACTGATTATAAAAATCTCTTGCTTATATCACCAAACTGAACACTTGAAAGTGATTATTTCCATAAAGTCCTCCAAATATTACTAAATTTTAATACTTAGCAAGTTTTTCTTTTAAATGTCAAAAATTAAGAAAAATATCCTACCTTTACAAGGCCTGTTAATTCAGTAACAAGTTTTGCTTTCTGAACATTTATTTCTTTTATTTTGGTACTTGCTCTTCGTTCTTCCTCTTCCAGATTGCAGGTGTCCTGTTCCATCAGCCTTATACTGTATAACAGACACATATAGTGATGGAGAGGTCAGAGCTAAACAAAGGACCAAGGTCCCTTGTGTAGCTGAGTTACCTTAAACTTGTGATTTTCCTGCCTCTACCTCCCAAGTGCTGAATTATGTACCTCCACTCCTGATCAGTGCTGCTGTAGGGGATTGAATCCAAGTCTTTGTGCATATTAATAAGCAAGGCCTTAGGTCCCTTGAAGTTTTTTGGGTTATATAGTAATAATGGTAATCAGAAGTATAAATACTAGCTCCTACATTAAGGACCTCTTAATACAATCAAACAGGGTCAAAATATATTGTGGAGCTATTTGACCAGCAAAGTCTAGTGCTGATGCAGACTATGGAGTCAGAAAGGAAGTTTGAATTTCCCCATTGTTATTCATCAAGAAGTAGAACAGGGCAAGTTACACCTTGGAGCTTTAGGTTCTTCATCTGTGCCCTGCAGATGACAAAACTTCCTCCATCTGAACTTGGAAGAAAAAACATACAACATAGAATAATACCTGGCCCAGAAACTATTTATTAACATAGGTTGATACTGACATTGTTCATAAAACACAATCCTTTAAGCAGATACAACTGACCCATAAGTAATAACAAAAGAAAAATCAACACAAGGTTTGGGAACGGAGCTCAGTTGGTGGAGTGCTTGCTTATTAATATGCACAAAGACTTGGATTCAATCCCCTACAGCAGCACTGATCAGGAGTGGAAGTACATAATTCAGCACTTGGGAGGTAGAGGCAGGAAAATCACAAGTTTAAGGTAACTCAGCTACACAAGTGTGAGGCCAGCCTGGGCTACATGAGCTACACCACGCACCCCCACAAATTATCATTAAAACAATTCTAAAGATTAAGAAACAAAGGTTTGAAAAGTCAAGTAATCACCTAGGATTATAGATATTAAGTGGTAAAATAAATTTAATACCAAAGTCCATGGTCTTTCCACTAAACCATGGTGATTCCGAGGAGACAGAGAGGGGAGAAGTAGTAGTCATAAATAAGACCCACAAGTACAGCGGGTGTTGTCCAAGGAAGAGGTGCTGGAGAGGAAATCAAGATTCTGAATAATTATGAAAGCCAGTCTTAGGAAGCACAAGGTGCAGCTTGGAAAAACCCAACCAACCTACCCACCCACCCACCCCAAACTTTTGAAACAGTATTCTGGATGAACTGAATGGAGGGTCCAACCATCACTGCAGGTCATCACCACAAAGCGAATAAAGGTAGAAATAAAAATAACGGGCTGGTAGTATACAAAAATTCATTTTCTTCCAAAAATCATTAATAAGAAAGTCTTAAACTTCAACAAGGGAGTCACAGGAGTCACACAGTAAAGTATAAATGGTTTGTCAACAATTGAAGATAGGATTAAAATGAAGGGTTAAAACTGATAAACAAGGTTAAAAATTGAAAAAGAATGCAAGAAAGAAGCTATTTGCTTTAAAAAAGATTTAAAAAAAATTTTGTAATGTACTTTATTGTCTTTTAAAAAAATCTTTTCTGATTTTCCCAGTTTTTTAATCTTAATTTATTTTTTTTGAGAAATTAGTATGAATACTATATTCACATCATCTCCATACACCTCCCTTACTTGCCTCCAACTACTCTATGGCCATCCCTCAAATTCATGATCTCTCTGCATCTCTCTGTGAGTCTATTAGAGTTCCCCATATGTATTCGTATTAAGGCTTACTTACCACTTGGGATTAGATAACCTATGAGGAAGCTCTTTCCCGGTGAAAACCGATCCCCCCTCTCTCAATAGCCACTGACTGCTTGTAGCCCTTTATTTACAGGTACAGCCTTATGAAATGTCCCCAGTCTATGCTGTCGGGTTTATCAGCTCAAAATATCAACACTGGAATAGTATGTAGCATTTTTATATTAGAGGCAACCAGTAGCTGTCTAACTGGACTTAAAGCCTGCTCAATAGGAGGTATTTCATTTCTGGTATTACAAAGTTAGACAATTACCCATGGCTGGAAGTCACGGACCTTAGGAAAGAACCTACAACTGTCATTATCCTATATGAATATAATTTCTAACTGCATTCTAAACACACTCAGAGACACTGAGTGGGTCAAAGGACTGGAAAGAACACTTTAGTCTGACCTTTGCCCTCTGCACCACAACTGAAGTTTGAACATTGATAGTAAAACTTCAGAAATTACTAGAAACTGCTGCTGACAGTCCACAACTGAATTAGTAGATACTCATGCCATGTGTTTTTGAAAACTACAAGATACCTTGCCAGCTTGGAGCTGATTTTCTGTTCCAGTTGTCTTTTTTTTGTTTTTCTTTCAAGAAGCTCCTTCTTCTTCAGCCTTAGCTCATTGTCTTTGAGCTCAAGACGCCTGTTTGTATCACGCAAGGCTACCAATCCTGAGTCCACTGTTTCCAGTTTTCTATTAATTTCCTATGGAATATTCAAAAGTGTTAACAAAACCTTTTAAAGTTCTAAGGTCTTAAAACACCAGTTGATATATTAGTAATTAAATCAAGTGAACAAACCTTTAGCTGTTCTTCCAGGTGCCTTCTTTGCTCTAGATCCACAGTAACAGTGAGGAACTGGGCTACTTTCAGGGATGTATTACTAGAAATAACTTTATTTGAATAGAAAGAAGTTTTTAACACATACTTTTCTTCTGCTGTATAAATTTGTTTTAATCGAGTTTCTTGTATTACCTGTAATGTAAAACAGGAATTCATAAACATCTAATAAAAACTATAATATACGCTTTAAAGAACTAAAGAATTAAGAACAAAAACCAGGAAAATTCTAGTACAATCTATCCAACATCTGTAAACGATGGTTAATGTATCTTAGATATTTGTTTTGGAAAGACATCCTTTCAGAGTGATGAGAAAGCTAACTAAGCAGTGAAAATGGCCGCTTTCACTTCACACTGACATCTCTCCCAAGTATGGTAGTTTTTCCTAAGAGACACTAAGAGCTCAGTGCCCAGTGCTGAACTACCTTGTATCAGCTAAATGGTTTACACTTTCCTCCCCTTCACTGCATTGTTCAAAGGTATATAATCTCAGACTTACTTTTTCCATGTTTACAATACTAGATAAAAATACTTTTCATGGAGCTCAAAGAGTTTTATTTTGACCTTTGTTGTTTAATCATTTTTCTTCACTTATACAAGAATTTTACAAATCAAAACATTCTAAGCACCATAATATCATTAGATCTAACTGTCTACTACCAATAGGCTGTTGTGATTCCCACCCCAACCTCCAGTCTCTGAAGCTTCATAATCAATACTATTAAGGCTTATAATACTATTAAGGCCAGAGAAATTCCTAGTCTAAATGAAGAGATATGACACTTTAAGTAAAATGAATAAACAGAGTATAAGCTGGCATCCTAAATCTTGAGTAATTTGAAATAAAAAGAAATCTCATGAAAACAAGTTTTAACTGGGACTTGAACTGACACAAAATAGTGAGGAAAGGCATTCCTAGCAAAAAGGACATTTCAAGTTAAGGAAGCCAACAGACAATGGAACCCAAGCTGGGTGTGTGTTGCACAAGTGTAATCTAGCATTTGAGGAGCAGAGTAAGAAGAGAAAGGAACTCAAGGCCAGGCTTGGCTACATAGTAAGTTCAAGGAAGTCTGAAAACATAATGTTCTGTCTCCTAAAACAAAAACAACAAAACCCTCACACACACCCCTGCTGCCACCCAACCCCCCCAAAAAAGCTGGTTCTAAGAGAGATTTGGACTGTCCCTGCTAGCAAAGAAAGCTTAAGGAAAAAAAAAAAAAAAGATGAAATGTGATCATTTGGAGTGTCGTCAATAAAAGCTTTAAGAAGGTTAAAGCTACCAGAATAGACCTATATCCCAGTCTAGTATTCTATGCACACTTAAAAGAGCATCTAGGATGCCATACTTTTATTAAGCAAGGCAGAATCATCTAAGAGCATCCAGGCATTACAGATTTTAGCTTTATTCAATTCCTCTAAAAACACAAGAATTTATTAACTTGTTCTAAGTAACTTTGTCTCACTTCTGCTATAAAATATTAGTTAACAGTCACAGTTTTATGACATATCACGACTTAAAATGTAGAGTTTCTATACTCTTACCCGTTCAATTCTTTCTCGGGTTCTTTCAGTCCCCACAGGAACTTCATGGATATGGTACTGACAGCAAAGGTAACTCATTACAGGATCAGGTGCGTCAAATAACTCTCGAAGGTACGAAAAAAATCCATACTGTCTGAAAAGAAAAGGGCTGATTTGGTTTTTCTTTTAAAAATATTATTTTAAAAACCTGAAAACTGAGTTGGTACAGCAGATGAAATGCTTGCCTTGTAAGTACAACAAAAACATGTAGTGCAGGGTTTAAACCCCACAACCCATACAAAACTGCAGGTAATGGGGAGATGGGCAGTGGATCACTGGGGCCTCAAGCAACATAGTGCCCTACTTGGTAAATCCCAGACCAGTAGGAGACCTTTTCTTTCCATCAGAACACTAACACACCAAAAAAAAAAAAAAAGAGTCTGAGGATGGAAAGTTTGAGAAATGACACCTGAGGCTGTTTTCCGCATGTATACAAATGTGCACTCACAGAAATACAACCTGATTGTTGACAAGCAATAAGTAAAATACATAGTGTGGTGATTTGAGTGAGAATGGCTCCCACAGGCTCATGTTTGACTACTTGGTGCCCACTTGGTTGAACTGGTTGGGAAAGATTAGGAGGAATAGCCTTGATGGAGGAGGTATCATTGGTGGTGGGTTTCAATGTTTAAAAAGCCCACACCAGGCTCAGTTTCTCTCTCTGCCCTATGCCAATGAATCAGATATAAACTTTCAGCTACTGCTGCAGTCTATGCCTCCCTGCTACATGCCATACTCCCCACCATGATGATCATGGACTTATTAACCCTCGGAAAGTGAAAGCAAGCCTCTAACTAAATCCTTTCTTTTATAAGTTGCCTTTGTCATGGTATCTCTTCATAGCAATAGAAAACTAACTAAAGCTGTGGGTGGTGGAACATGCCTTTAATCTCAGCACTGGGGAAGCAGAGGCAAGTGGGTATCTGTAAGCTCAAGGCCAGTGTGGTCTACATACTGAGTTCCAGGACAGATAGAGCTATACAGTAGGACCCTGTCTCAAAACAACAACCACCCCCTCAAAAAAAAAAGAAAGAAAACAAAGAAGGAAGAAAGGTGACTAAGACACACATTTTAGCAATAATAGAAGAAAAGCTTTTTACATTTAAAAAAGAAAAATCAGTGGTACTATTTTCTTCCTTGCTGTTAAGCTTAAGCTTTTTATAATTATAAATGTTTTTTATTTTTTACAAATTATCTTTTGTTGTTCCTTTTATTATTTTTATATGCCTAGTTAAATCCAAAGACCAGATATTTACACATAATTGTATAAAACTGCATTTCTTTACATTTAGCCCTTTACAGAAATTATTTTGGCTGCAGAAAACAATTCCTTACTTCCTATTTTTAATGGCTAACCTATCCCTTTTACCTTTAGTAAAAGATGTCTTTAACTAATCCAATCCTGTTCCACAACTAGATCACCCTGATGAAACATGAACATTCTATCTGACACACTCCTAAGCTTCAACTCTCCCCCATTTTAGATTTCAGCAGAACTCCTAAGACAGACAATACAGCTTATAACGAACATATTATGTGAAGAAGAACTTAAGATTATTCAGTATTCAAATTAGTTCCAATAATACTTTCAACTTACTTTAACTCATTCAGAGATCTTGAAGGTGCTTTGTCTGCATATGAAATCTTGGGAGCAATAACAGCATTTACTCTTAACTTCTTATTGTCACGAACCTGAACACAGAAAAAAGACAATATTAATTACCATGGGTTCAACTGAAATATTTTTTTTTCAAAATTGCTTTCTTAAAGCTTTTGAGACATCATGAAATTGCTAGGGTGATCAGAAACTTTTATTTCTCTCCTATAACATTTACCTACCCTAAAGTCAATATGAGCTTTTCTACTTTATGGGTTTCTCTACTTTGGTTTTGTTACTCGAGAGACAGTCTTACTTAGTCTGTGGACAGGAACTCACTATGTACCCCAGTTTGTCCTCAAACATACAATCTTCTGCTTCAGCCTGTCATGGGTTGGAATTACAGGCATGTGCCTCTACACTTAACTAAAATCCTTTTCTTTCAGAAACATGTACTGACTTTTCTCAGATGAAAGAAGATGTCAGAATTGGCTTCCAAATATGTAGATGGCAGAGCTATATGTTAATTAATACTATATTATCTTGTATGGGGTTTACCTATCTGCCAATAATGATTATAAACGCTAAGCAAAATTTTAAACAATTATTTTAAATGTAATTAGACAACAAATTTGAAGAATGGAACTGAGTAAGATCTGAGCTAATGTGACTTGTGACCTGAGAACAACCCCTTAACTACCAGGAGAGATACAGGAATAAAAACCTGGGTAGAAAGATGTAGTCTGTGGCTTGAAACAAATCAGAGGATGGTATTTGGAGTGATTAGAATGGCTATGTAAACAAAAAGGTAATTCTCAGCAGGATGCTGCCAAGTAAGAAGCTTTAAAATACTTAAACCTGTTTCAACCTTTGGCTGATTATTCAACTATAAATACATGGAAAAATTCTAGTGAAACATGAGAAAGCAACAGAAGCCTTGGGGTTGGTGGTAGGTCACTGAATGGGAGAGGCTAGAGAGATGGCTTAGTATATAAAGTGCCTGTCATGAGTTCATAACCCTAACATCCACATAAAAGCTGGCTAGAGCAGCATATATATCTATAACCAAAGCACTGGGTAGGTACAGACACAGGAGAATCCCCAGAACCCCTAGAACTTATTAGCTAGTAAGCCTAGCCAATCAGTAAGCTACATGTTAAGTAAGAGACATTGTTACAAAAATTAATGTGGCTGGAGACAGGAAGACTCCAATAGCGCAGAGTTCTCTCAGCCCTTATCAGAGATGCTGTTTCTTGCAGTAGATGGTAATTAACAAAGAAACTTACAACAGGATAATGTACGCAGAGTCACAGATCTTGAAGCACTTACCCCAATGTTTCTATCAAAAACCCCTCCCTGCCTCAAGGCTCAGGGATGTACACAGAAAAGGAATGGAAGGATTATAAGAGCCAGAGGTGATGAATGACTCCAAGGAAACAGTGTCTTCCAGACACAACAGAACTGATACATATATCAACTCAGAGACAGTGTCAGCACACAGGGGCCATGTACAGGCTCAAACCAATCAAAATGCCAGCACACAACAGTGGAAATGGACATAAAGTTCCAGCCCTAACCAAGAAGCTATTTGCAATCGATACTTGCTAGGAAATGATAAATCAGTTTTCTCCAATAGAGTATCACTGGGTATAGTATATCAACCACACTCCAGGGTAGGCCCCATGCTTAATAGCTGGCCAACATAAAATGGACTCACGGTTGTGTATGGTGAGTATTATGTGCTGTTTGCTTCTGGCATTTTTTTTTTGTTGTTGTTGTTTTGGTCTTATTGGTTTTTATCTTCTTCTATTTTATCCCTGTATGCTTCACCCCTTTTGTTTGGTAAAAGAGAACAGGAAGTTGGATGGAGAGGATTTGGGAGGAACTGGGGTCAGTAAAAATATCATTAAAATATATTGTATAATTTTTTTAATTTTAAAAAAATTACCCGCCGGGCAATGGTGATGCACGCCTTTAATCCCAGCACTTGGGAGGCAGAGGCAGGCAGATTTCTGAGTTTGAGGCCAGCCTGGTCTACAGAGTGAGTTCCAGGACAGCCAGGGATACACAGAGAAACCCTGTCTCGAAAAACCAAAAAAAAAAAAATTACTCACAAACTTAACTTTGAGATATACTAGAAATAAAGAGTTGGAGGGGCTCAGTGATGCATGGTGGACTTCTAACACTTAGAAAGACGCTGAAGCAAGAGGATCTTAGGAGTTCAAGGCCTGACTAAATTCACACAAAGAAGTACTTCAAAAACAAAACACCCTCTCATTGAATCTTAATATATAAACAATTCAAAGTGAACTTTAGAAATCCATTCTGAATAGCTAAAGGTCATGTGGTGGTTTGAGTAAGATTGGCCCCTATAGCTGGGCAGTGGTGGCGCATGCCTTTAATCCCAGCACTTGAGAGGCAGAGACAGGCGGATTTCTGAGTTTGAAGCCAGCCTGGTCTACAGAGTGAGTTCCAGGACAGCCACAACTATACAGAGAAACCCTGTCTCAAAAAACCAAAATATGATTGGCCCCTATAGGCTCCTATATTTGAGGGCTTAAGGGCTGGCATTACGGGGTATGGATTTGTTGGAGAAGTGTGTCACTGAGGGTGGGCTTTGAGGTTTCAAATGCTCAAGTTGGGCCCAATGTCATTCTCTTTCTGGTGCCTGCTGATCCAGATTTAGAACACTCAGCTACCACAACTGCTTGTGTGCTACTGTGCTTCCTGCAATGATGATAACTGACTACACCTCTGAAATACAGGCCAGCCGCAATTAGATGTTGTCCTTTAAAAGAGTTGCTGAGATCATGGTCTCTCTTCACAGCAACAGAAACTAAAAGAGACCATAAAGCAAACATTCAACAGAAGATAAGACATACACTGGGCTGGGGAGGGTGTTTAAGGGGTAAAATGTAGGCCTTGTAAGCACAAGAACCTTATTCTAATCCCCAGACAACAAATAAAAGGAGAGGGGGATAGGGGTGGACACTTGTAATTCCAATGCTGGGGAGGTGGAGACAGGCAGGCCTTTCAGACTTTGACTACCCTAACTGGTGAGTTCTTGGTGAGTTTTTGGTAAGAAACTTGGTCCCCCAAAACAAAACAAAACAAAAACCCACCCCAACCCCAAAAAGAATAAAACCCAAACTAAACAATAACAACAAAAACCCAAACCCAAACTACCCCTCCCCCACCCCCCCCCACACACACACAAAGAGCAAAACATAAAACAGTGCTGAGGCAGTAGAATGGAAGAGTTTCATTTGTGACTGACAGATTAACATTCTAAAACTTCTTTCAGGTTTTTTTTTTTTAAACATAAAAAAGAGTTAAGTATACTGATGATACAGAATGTGATATTATTTCAGAAAATACATAGAAATGACACACCCATGAAGGAGAAAATCAGAAGGTACCTTGTCAATCAGTGTATTATTGGTTAGTACTTGCCTCTCTGAGAAAAATCTCCATATCTTCTTGACTTTCAAACACAAAGGCTCTTAAGTCATTTGATGAAATATGATTTTCAACATATTTTGCATTTTTATTATCTTTCATATTAATCTATATAAAAAAGAAGAAATTAGTTTTCCTGAAACAGACTGATTATTAAGAGTGCATCACATATATCTTGGATTTACTTAGAATAAATTTACTGTTAAGTAATTTCAAAACATTTTGTTTGCTACTCAGAACAACCGCATGCATGGGGGTCTGCTTTACAATGACTTAGTATATTTCTTAATCTTGACATAAACTCCCTATTCTACTTGGCTGATAGGTACAAAACCATAACAATGCCTTCCTTAGATTCATGGAAAAAACTTTTCATGAGAAGTCAAAGGCTTGCATCACCCCAACATAAACATATATTTGGGTTTTTTGGTTTTTCTACTCTGAAATTGTACCTGCAATTGCTTATATGGCTTCTGCTGCTCCACATCAACCTCATAGGTGCTGTATTATAGGCAAGTACCACATACACAATTTATAGTAACATGATTAAAAACTATTTACTAATTAGACACTACTGCACAAGTGGCCCAATTCTACGAAAGATATTAAGATAAATAAGGGGAGAACAGTTTCAAGAATACCAAGTCTTTATTCATTACCATGAATAAGCAAAATGAAAAGCAAGACATCATATAGCTCTCATTAAAAATGACACTAGAAGTACTGCCTTTAGATTCTGTAGAAGAGCTGGATGAACAACAAACAAGTTATTTATATACGATGCTATATCATGAACCATGCTATTTCTAACTAGGGCTCCGGCCTGGGGATACAGCGCAGTGGGAGAGTACTTGTCTAGTATTTATTAGACCCTAGGTTCAATTTCCAATACTGCTCAAAAAAAAAAAGTATGATTTAAAAAAAAGTGTGTTATATAAACACTGACTAATACTATTCTCTAGAAAATATCAAGCTCAGAAAAATAGGAAGGCAGACAGACAAACACTATAAAATATGATCATCCAGGCAGTATACTATAATAAACATCTGGTGTTTGTCATTTCACTTTTTTTCATATTCAACTACCTTATGGTAAAAAGTGCAAATTAAGGAAAATGTAAACTTCTAGAATGGACAAAAATAATTGCTATGGATTAACCAGTATAGGACTTGGTTTTCATGCTTTTCCAGGTTGAATTTATTAGACATATCTTTCCATTTGAGAACCAAAAGACTTCATCTTGTGTAAACAGTTCACCACAAGGCCACTCAATTCTTTAAAATCTCACAAATAGTTATTTTGGTCACAACCCAATTTGTGACATTCTAAAAGTGAATGATTTATCTTTTCTTTTTTTACAGGTATAGTACATATCTTCAAGTAAAATTTTATGTAACGTATTGGTTCTTTAGCTTCCTGTTTCTTAGAATACTGCTCTGTTTTTTTCTGGTATTCAGTAGAAATAATACTTGTCCAAAATTTTCAAAGAATTTTACAGTTATACCTTCACAAACACAGACACAGACTAGTAAGTACAGTAGATATAGAGATCTTCATGTCACCTGGTTAATGTAATTTCCTGTTTTACAATTTTTTAAATGAAAATTTTCTGTATACCCTATTCAACCTGTCTTATAGTTCATTAAAGTGTCCTATCTTACTCATTCTTTATTATTAACCCTAACCTACAGCATTGTTTGTATGTGTATGTATATGTGCAGGTTCACATATATGTATGTAAGTGGAGGTTAGAGGACAATTATCATTGCTCCTCAGATGCCATCCATTTTATTTTTTGAAACAAGGTCTCCTGTTGGCCTGGTACTCACTAAAAAAACTAGACTGGCTGTCAGAGAACCCCAGAGATCCATTGCCTCTACTTTCCTAATGCTAGGATTATAAGCATACCACCATGGCTGCTTTTTCACATGGGTTCTGGGGGATTAAATTCAGCTCTTTGCAAGCACTTTACCAAATGAACTATTACACTGGACTCCATAACAGTATTTAAATGGTTGTACTATATTCCACTATGAGAATGAGGTGATTTATCTTACCTACCAGTATCTTTATAAATTTCCTTCTTTATGCACATTAATTATGTTAATACAAGGTATAATTGTGATCATATTACTATGGTAATAAAAATAATACCTATAACTCTTTTCTACATTTTCCAGTTCTAGCTAGACTGGAGTTGTTAGAAATAAATTATAAAACTGGAGTACTGACAAGCTAGCTGACATTTTCAATGTACATACTCTTAACTTGCCAAGGAGGTTCATTTTCAAGTAGAATTGAAGGGTTCGGTAAGTATACATATAGATCTGGATGGAAAGAGAAACTAGAAGGTGGAAAGACACTACACAGAAGTAGAGTGTATCTTGTCTTAAAACACCGAGATGTAAACATACTCCAGTTAGTGATATGACCTGGTGATGGGCTAGTTAGACAATCAGATGGCAAACCTGATTAAGTTCTGAACTATTACTGAGGTTGCTTTAAAAAAAAAAAAAATGAGCAAATAACTATATTTGCATTCTAACTTATAGCAAGGGTTTTTTTTCAGTCCTTATCAGATCAAAAAAATGTGAATACACTAAATATAAATTCTCTTCTTAATTTTGGAAAAATATTCCCTTTGCTGTTGTTTCTGTTTGGTTTTAGAGGACAGGGTTTTACTATGTTACCCAGGCTAGAATGTAACTTGTTATGTAGCTGAGGCTAGCATCAAACTCTCAATCCTCCTGTCTCAGCCTCTCAAGAACTGAGATTATAGGCACATGCAACTGTGAAGAAAAGAACACATTACAAGTATTAATTTTACTAATATTAAGATATAACAGAGTTAAATCTATGCTATTATTAATAAAGAAAAGGATAGGGAAAATAGACCTTGTTGTGAATTCTACAAAGATCTATTATTATCAAACAAAAAATCTGTAGTAAAAACAATTCTTAGGTTATTTGGGGAGTTCTAATCTTCATGTATCTTTATCTAGTATATCACTACTAAGGAATGTGTTTTATTACTTACTATAAAACTAAATTAATCACCTGAGAGTTTGATAGAAATTATCCCATTAAATTCATGACCAAACTTCATTAAATTACTACAGCTTTTCTATTTCTGATGACCCAAATCATCAAAGCTATCAATTATTTTATGGTATCAATTACTTGCTTCATTCACAAAATCCTCAGAGTGCTCTTTTAAAATAGATAATTTTCTTGCTTATGTTATCAAGCATCCTTTATTAACATTTTTATAAGTTTCCCACTTCTTAAGCAGTTTTTAATTTAATACTATAATCTAAAACCTAGTCAAGCAACCTTATTTTATACATGATCCTAGTTAGAGAATCCCCAGTTTCCTATCATTTTATGGTGCATGTGTACCTGTGTGTGTTTGTGTGTGTGTGTCTGTATGTCTGTCTGTCTGTCTGTCTGTCTGTATGTATGTATGTATGTATGTATGTGTATGTGTATATACATATACAATACAATACATGCCGAGGTTGAAGTCAGGTTCTTCCCCTAACCTCACTCCAATTTATCTGGGTTTGAGAGAGGGTATCTCCCTGAATCTGGAACTGTAAATTTAGTTATACTGGCTGGCTCCATATCCTGTCTGCCTCCTCAGTGTCAGCATTGCAGGCATGCCACGCCCACCATCTTTTCCCCTCCCTTTTATAAGTTTTGATAACTCAAGTTTTCATGTTTGCATGGCAGTACTTTATAGACTGAACCGTCTCTCTGGTCCCCTAGTTTTAAACTTTTTTCTGGAAAAAATTCAGTTTATATACCATTATGGCTCAAGGGCACTTTAGAAAGCTTATGTATGGATTCAGCCTCACAGTGATTACAAATTTAACAAGGAAAACCACGGTCTTAGCAAGAATAAGAATTCTTACACCAACAAAAATCTACAATAACCCTAATAATAAAATTAACAGATGTTACAAAAATGAGTAACATTTCTTACCGTCAGCATTATGGGTTCACAGACTCTTTGTTTAAACCTATCTTTGTTATTTCTCAGCCACAAGACTGCATCATACGTATCCCGGTACCTCTGTCTCAGCTTATCTTCCTTCTGATTCATAAGATTGTCAAAACGTACGATATGATCACTCACACCTATAATTGGAAAGAAAAGTATCACTTCTCTGAAAACACTAGCATATCATCTTGTAAACAATACAGAATATCTTAAAAAAATACCACTCAGGACAAATATTTCAAAGTCTTTCTAAAATTACTTAACATCTAAGATAAAAAGTGAACTGAAGCTACTAAAAAGCAAGTCACCTGGAAATAAGAAAAAATAGTGAAAAGGGGCAGAAGAGGTTTTTTTTTCTTCTTCAGAAAGTAATTACCTTTAATGTGGAACTGAATTTATAACAAAATCAATAAAGAGAGATACTAAATTTAAAATGTTCTTAAGTAATACAAAAACACTGAAATCAATCTTCAAAATCTCTTCTTAGAAAGTTATCTACAAGTCTAAGAAAAATAAAAGGTGGGAGGAGGAGAGAATGGAATTCAGGAATAGATTTATTCAGTGAAGGAGAGGGATGGGACAGATCCCAGCAGAAGATCATGGAGAAGGCCTTGGAAGTGATCTGCTTAGATGGAAGCAGAATAGCAAAATGAAGAATTCAATAATAATAATAATAATAGTTGAATTTTCCTTTTTCCAAATTTAAGGAGATGCTAGACTGGTCAGATGGCTCAGGGAATGAGAGTGCTTATTCTACGAGCCTCATGACCTCAGGTTGATCCTCAGATGCCACAGTGGTTAAGAAAACAAAACCAACTCCAAAACATTGTCTGACCTTCATGTATCCCTAGTGGTAATGGTATGTCCAGTTACATAATTAGTAACAGCTTGTTTTTAATTTAAAGATACACTACAAGAAATGGTATTTTCTAAAAAAGGCAAATTAAACCTTGAAGAGGCAACTCAAATTTTTTTTTTTTTTTCCCGAGACAGGGTTTCTCTGTGTAGCCCTGGCTGTCCTGGAACTCACTCTGTAGACCAGGCTGGCCTCGAACTCAGAAATCTGCCTGTCTCTGCATCCCAAGTGCTGAGGAACTCAATTATAATAAACCTGGCCGTAAGTAAGTTTAGAACTCTAATTGCTAAGAAAGCACATATAATTATGGTCCTCAATAAAACTTTAGATTTAAAGACATAAAACAGAGATGGCATACTGTATTAGTACACCTAAGCATAAAAATGTTAACACTGACAACTAGTAAAATAACAAATACCAGCATTACTAACACTGCTAGGAGTTAAGAGTGGGTCTCTTCTTGAGCTCCATTCAACTGTATGTACCCAGCACTCAGATGATAAAAAGATTAAAATGAATCAAAGGTAAATCAGTATGAGGGGTGAAAGTCAGAGGAAATAAGCAAGTCCCCATTTCATAAACTATTCTTTGCCCCCAGGAATCTTACTTCGTTTCTGTTTCTCCAGCATTTCCTTTTCTCTCTGTTTATCAATGATCTCGCCTTCACATAAGGCCTTCTCCTCTTGAACGCGCCTCAGATCATTTGTGATGGCATCAATCTGAGGCTGAAGGTTCTCGCAATTTTCTGCAGTCCTGAGCTCATTCTGCAGATCTTCTATCATCTTGCGGGTGTTACTTATTCTCCTCTGCCGGTCATGCTCCTCATTCTGTTTGACTGTTAATGCCTGCTGAAGTTCCTTAATCTAAAAAGCAAAAGTAGATTAGTACCTGAGATTGTTTTCTTCTAGTCTATTTAGGTTTTGCAGAACTATTGTTTAAGTTGCCTAGGACAGGACAGAGTGCTCACTGGAATAGCTGACAAATCTAGCATATAGAAAACCTGGGACTGGGTCTAAGAATCTTCAGACACATCAGAACCTTACATGTGTGTGTGTGTGTGTGTTTGTGTGTGTGTGTATGTGCGCGCACACACACACACACATATCCTATGAGCACTCCTCTTTTTAAGAGATATAGTAGCAGGTTACTACCCAGTCAACTACCAGCAATTTTATTTGTTCCTAAGTATATCAAAAGTACTTAACAGCCACTTAACATATGGTTAGTACTTATTAAAATGCTTGGTGAATGAAAACATATAAGGCAAAGTCAGATGCACAAATATTTACAGAAAGTATATACCACACATACGACCAAAATTTAAACCCAAACAAATTTCTTTCAACAAAATTATTTTCTACCAACACTTCAAGTTAACACTGAAATCTTTATATTTAAACTTTTGGCTTATAATCCAGAATAAATTATTTTTAAAACAGGATATATTGGCTGGCCACCTGTTGTCAACAGAATTTAATCAAAATCATAGTTTATCAAAAACATTGTTTTCTTTAAGACATATGCAAATAGGGTACTGGAGGAATAATTCAGTGGTTAAGAGCTCTTTTGAAGGACTTGGGTTTGATTCCTAGCACCCATATGGCAGCTCACAACCATCTGTAACAGTTTCAGGGGGATTCAGGACTCTAGTCTCTAAAACCATTAGGAACATACATGGTGCACAGACATACAAAGGCAAAATACAAACAAACAAACAAACAAACACACACCAAAAAAACCCATATACATTAAAAAATAAATCTAAAAAAAAAGAAACACACAAATGTATACATTTAATTTGCTCTTATAACTATAATGTTGTATTGAATTAAGTTAATACAGTGCATATGCTGTTAATCAGTTTTATTTCTAAGTCATATTTATTCCTCCTCTATTATAAAAGTTATAATAAATTAATGATAAGGAATATGGAAAATACATTCTTGGAACAAATAATAATAATTTAGTGGAATGTCTTTAAGTTTTATACTTCTTCAGTGCCTACTTGTATCTTATTTATAAGACATTTGCATTGAATGGGACCACTGAAGTTTCACTGACAACATTTTTACTACTCTCCCCATATATTCTTACAAAATAAAATTTTTACACCAGTATCATATTTGGTCATATGAAAGCACCACATTTTAATTCCCTATTGTTAGAAATTTCTTTCTGAAAATTTAAATTTGGCACTATCAAGAAATTAAACATATGTGAACTCTTGTCTTCTATATCAAACACAGAGAAATAAAAGAACAGAATTTTTATGTATACATGCACACGTGCATGCGCACATACATACATACACACACACACACACAGAGAGAGAGAGAGAGAGAAACAGAACAAGAAATCAATGTTCATTCATGAAACCCACAAAATCTAAGCCATTCAGGAGAATAAGGGAGCATGTCAGAGATTAAGAACAAGCTACCACCGAACACAAGAAAAAGTCCAAGTCCACAGAGACAAGAAACTAATCAATCATACACGTATTTTGTACAGCTAGCATTGAGCTATTACAAAAAAAGAGAAGAAAATAAAGAAAATCCAGTGGATTAGCAAAAAAGTTTGCCAAAAGATGGTCTTTACCTTGGACCTTAAAAAACAGAAATGCACCAATGACTCCTCAGTTCTTGGCTATGTTTTCTCAACTGTAACACATCTGTGACCTTCATCCAGCAGACTATCAATATCAACAATAATCACATCAGTCCCACCATGACTGGTACTGATGTTGACCTCCAGCACATTTAAAACCTCACCTCTCTAGGTTGTGTTAGATCCTATTCTTGTGCTGCTCGATCTCTCTGAATGTACTTTGTTACTCTAGCTAAAACATGGGTATTTCTGAAAGGTACTTCTGTAGTGAGCTCTCTCATGGCAATGAGTCCTTTCTCCTTTAATGCACTTAGTTTCTGATTCTTTTAATACCATGGGCTCAGACTTTGCTACCCATCATCCTGTAGTGAATTAACTACTTCCCTCAAAGTCCTCCCTCACTACTTACAGACTGATGACTCTGGCACCTGAATCAATGTCTTCTTTAATCCATCATTATCCCTGTGGTCATGTGACTTCAACCTAAACACAGAAAGTCAATCTTTTTTGGTCTCTGTTTCTCTCCTTCTTTAACTTCAAAGATATTTTCCTTTTACTGTACACAATGTAAATCACCAAAAATCACACAGCTTCTGATACTGTATTTCTGCAAACCCATTCTTTGACAATTACTTCCTTCTTTCCACTATGCTCAGCCTGGTATTCCTAGTCCTTAAAAACTCCATAGGGTGCTGTAATCTACTGATCTTCTTTCTACCATCTCAATCCATCTTTTCCTTTATTTCTTTAAGCCAACTGTGTTCCATAACCTGCCAGTCACTCACTCCCTTGCTAAGATCCATTGATCCTTAACTCATGTGATACTAGAAAAGAATAAGCTTAATTCTAACTATATTTCTGCTACATCTAAGCAACTAAAATAATGTAAGGCATCCTGAAAAGCTGGTCTCATTTTAAATTTACAGTCATCACAAAAATGGCAGTCAAAACTTTTACCATTAACACATTTGAATCCTTATGTAAATTCCTCTCATTTCCACCACTGTCAAGCCTTATGGCTGTCTTCCTCTATTAAGTCAGCTCATGTCCTTGCCCCACACTCCATTAAGAGAACAGTTTAAAATTAGAATACTTCCTTTTGTCGTACTTTAAACTCATCACACCCGTAGTTTTCATATTCCACAACATAAAAACAGTTCCTGTAAGTACCTAAATCCAACCCCTCTAAGACTATTTCAGAAAAGTTTTTCAAATTATTTATAATGAAAAACTTTAGAAATAATCCCAAGCCAAGCTTTATCAATTACTATAATAAGTTATCAAATGTCTTAGAAAATATAATCTAAGATAAATGTACTTTTAGAAAATTTCCCAAGAGAAATAAAAAACATATGGTCATAAGAAAAAAATTATACAAATGGCTGGGCGATGGCCCAGAGGCTAGTGCGTGCCATGCAAGTGCGAGGACCTGACTTGACCTTGTGAGATTAGTTTTGTCAACTTGGCACAAGTTAGAGTTACTAGGGAATAGTAACCTTAATTTTCTTGATGCATGACTGATGTGGGAGGGCACAGGCGTGGGGACAGCACTGCCCATGGGCAGGTGATTCTGGGATTTAAGAAAGCAGGCTGAGAAAACCACGAGGAACAAGTCAGTAAGCAGAGATCCTCATGGGTTTTGCTTCAGTTCCTGTCTCTAGGTTCTTGCCTTGAGTCCTGCCCTGATTTGCTTCAGTGATGAACTGTGGCTTTTCATTCTCCAATGATAGTAAGTCTTTTATCCCTCAATTTGCTTTTGGTTGTGGTCTTTATCACAACAATAGAAATAAATCTAAGACAGAAGCCCAGACCCTATGTAAAACCTGCATTTCTGTAATCCCAGTGTTCCTACTGAGGCAGAGACATGAGAACCTTCAAGTTCATGGGCTAGCCAAGTTTGCATATATGATGGCCAACTACAAAAGATACCTTGTCTTTAACAAGGTAAAAGGTGAGGGCTGACTCCTGGTGTTTTCTCACCTCAACATATACTGTGGCACATGTATACCAGCATTCACATGTGTACAAACACAAAGATACACAAGAGTGGTTACAGATTGGTTAACATTCTCAAAGAAATGATTTTAAGTTTATTAAATGGCAAATAAATAAATTTTAATCCTAAAAAAATTGGAAAACGTAGTAAACTGTATTTATACATTGAACTGAATGAAAATAAAAATTACAACATATCAAAATGTGTAGGGCAGAGCTCAAGCAGTGATGAGGAAAATGTACAGCAAGAGTGTTCACAAACTGTCCTGGATCAGTAGGTTCCAGCTCAAGAACCTTGAAAAAGAGCAAAATGAAACCTCATCAAGCAGCAGAAGGGAAAAAAAAAAAGACAAGAAAGAAAAAATAAAACTGGAAAGCAATAAAACTAAGTGATGGGGGTACATCGGTGAAATTCAGAAACTTCTGGAAAGAAACTAAAGAAAAAAACTAGAGGAAAACTGGGATATATACAACATAATGTCCCCATGAAATAACACATGGATCTTACTACAGCCTCTAGATATACTGTACTGAAGGGTACAAGGATTATACATACATAAACTTGACAATTTGAACAAACAAACTGATCTGCTTTCTGAACACAAATTGCCAAAACTTAAAAGAATATGAAACAGACTATTTGAACAACCTGAAAGCCATGTTTAGGAAATTGAATTCACAGTTCTAAAATAAACTCCTAGGGAGCCTGCAATATAATGGTACCCACTACCACGCCCAATAACCTGAGTTCATTTGATCCCTGGAATCTATGTAGTGGGAGGAAAGAACTGACTCCCACAAATTATCCTTTGACCTCTACAAACATGTTTGATATGTGAGTGTTCACCCCTGTTCCCACATAAATATACATTAATATTAAAAAAAATTTTTTTAGAACCAAATAGTTTCACTTCAGAATTATATAAAATGTTTAAAGAATTAACACTAGTCCCATACATAATCCCTTTCAAAGTCACTTCCCAATTCACTTTAAGAAGTTTGTTATTATCCAAATCCCTAAATAGACATAATAAAAAAGAAAACTACAGAAGAACACTATCCCTTACAGACAGAGTGAAAAAACCCATTAACAAAATGTTAGCACGTAGAATTCACTCACATATGAAACAGACAAATGTCCATTTATACACCATAATCAAGTGGGTTTCATGTTAGGGAAGTAAAGTTGATTTGCTATTCAACAACTAATATAAATTTAACATATAAACATCAATAATCTAAAGAAGAAAATAATAAAACATTAATAGAAACAGAGACAAAAATTTAGCTTTATTCAAAATGAATCTGATAAAGTTCATCCTACTTATGAAAGCCTACATCATACATACTTAATGGTAGAAATCCAATCCTTCCTAAGGTCATAAATAAGACAGTCCGTGCTTATTACTTTCACTCAGCAGCACCTAGAAACACTAACCAGTGGAGTAAGTCAAGAAAAGGAAACTAAACACAAATAAATCAGGAAAGAAACCCCAAAGCTATTTCTATTTACATGTGACATAATATTTTTTAAAAATCCACAGAATCTAGGTGAGAAAGAGAAGTGATGGATAGACAGACTAAGGTTTAAATCTAACAAAGCACAGATGAGACGTCTGCTGAAAACAGGCAATGCTAACGGAAGAAACCAAAAATCTAAATAAATGGACACATATCGTGTTCCTAGAGTGGAAGATTCAAAACAGTAAAAATGTCAATTCTCCCCCAAGGTATAACACAATTCTTATTAAAATCCCAGCAACACTTGTTTGTAGATGTAGAAAAGATTTAAATTTCATCAGGAATAGTGAAGTCAGGAACTCTACAATGTTTTCTATAAAACCAACGAATGGTGACAAAAACTGTTAAAATTAACTTTTTAATCTAATGTTTGTAGCACGCTGGGAAATGTTTACTAGCCAAACCAAATCCAGGCCAAATCTTGGTAAAAGTGATAATCTTTGTAAACTTCTAAACATGCCCAATTCCCAAACCCAGCTTGTCTTCCCACTTCTGCCATATTCTTTATAATAACCCACAACAATGGTAAAAGCTAGCTGCCCAGCAATTTTGGGAATTGTCATTTATCTGCTCTGTATGACACTTTCCTAAAAAACAGTATTCATAAGGCTTGTCTTTCTCCAATCTAACTCATAGGTTACCACTGCAAAGCAACTTTGTTCCTGAACATATTTGTCAAAAACAATCAGCAGAATTATTGAGTATCACAGCTGCCTGACAAGGGACAATAACAACATTTATAGCAAACAATAGGCAAAGCAAAAGACTGAGCTCTTCATTTACTTCTCTGGAAGTTCCTGGAATCCAGAGTAGAGCTCACATAAACAAGACTGTACATATCTTGGGCTACTGAGCCCTCACCCATTTTACCTTGAGGCTTATGAAAACAGGAAGCAAAAGCTGAAGAGATGTGTATATTTGCAGTGAAAATGACCAGATGTTTATTTACATCCAGGCAACACTTATTAAAAAAGAAAAAGACTGGATATCAATGAACAGTTAGAACCTGACTGTACTCAGTGCTGAGGGCATAGCCCAACATACTTACTCTCCAAAGCCTGGCAGGCGTAAATAGTCCAGGCATTTAAGAAGTCTGCTCAGTTGGGAGAAAACTAATATGACAGTGACTTAAAAGCCAATCCATCTTCCTTAAAGACTAAGGAAGCTAGGTAGTGGTGATACCACCTTTAATCCCAGCATTTGGGAGGTAGAAGCCATCAGATTTCTGAATTTGAGGAGAGCCAGGTCTACAGAATGAGTTCTGGAACAACCAGGGCTACACAGAAAAATCCTGTCTAGAAAGACAAAAAAAAACAAAAAACAAAAAACAAAACAAAAAACAAACAAACAAACAAAACAAAACTAAGGAAAGTCACTAGACAACAATCAGCAATGTAATTCATGAGGCTAGAGACAGCTCAGTGGTAGAACACTTGCCTGCAGTAAGAAGAGGCCTTGGGTTCAATTAGCACTACAGACAAGCAGACACTAATCATCAATGAGTAAGAACATCAAGCCTTCATGAAAGGAAGAGAATTAATTTTTAGATTTACCACATTTTCTTATTTAAACTACACTTTTGACCAAAAACCAAAACTGGTTAATTCACTCTAAGTAGAAAGTTTGGCAGCCACAGAGGAAAAAAAGAAAAAAGAAAAAAAGAAAAAGTAGTCAACAGAAAAATATCTAAGTAAGATCACAAATGGACTTAGAAAAGACTAAAGACCTTATTTAAAATACCTATTTATATTTTACAAACGTAAGAAAATCCTAACTAAAAGAAACAGTAACAGTTTCATCAAACAAAGATACACTATCAATAGATGGAGATACTAAAAACAAACAATACAAAAACTAGCCAGTTAGAAATTCTGGAATTAAAAGTGTTCTAAGTCAAAATGAAGTTTTGTTAGAGGGACTCAAAAGTAAATCTTAAAAAAGTCTAACAAAGAATAAACTAAACAAAGTCAACCAAAATTATGCAGTTTGAGAACAACAGGAATAAGAAAAGAAAAAAAAAGAAAAAGAACAAAACTGTAGAGACCTGTGGTATATCAAAAATGCAATGTACTAAGTATCAGAAGGTAAGGAGATAAAAAGAATACTGAAGAAACAAATAGCCCCTAACTTTTCAACTTTAAAGAAAATCATGAATTCTAAGAAAAATGGACTCAAGGCAAGTCCCACATTGAACCAGACAAATGTGAAAACTGAAGACATGAAGGAATCTGGGGATGTTGGCATCAAGACTGCCTATCATGCATGAATTCCTGTGTTCTATCCTAAACACTGCATAAACCCATAGTGGTGGCTAATACCTATAAATTCCAGCACCGGAGATAGGAGAATCCAAAGTTCATTATTATCTTGGACTACGTACATAGTAAGTTCAAGAAAGAGACTACTCATGTTTAATAGTCTCATTAAGATCTTCCTCAAAGGTGAGATGGCTCAGCAAGTAAAAGTGCATGCCAGACATCATGAAGACTTGAATTTGATCCCCAAATTCCACATGGTAGAAGAACAGAACTGACTCCCACAAGTTGTTCTCTGACCTCTATACACATCATAGCACACACCACACACCACACACACACACACACACACACACACTCATATACATATACACATACACTAAATAAATAAATGTGAAGCAACAGCAATAGGAAATTCATTAAGTCAAATAAAAAGCTCCACAAAACCCCTTAGCAACATAATGGACCACGGGAAGGACAATATCATGACCTAAACACGGAGTAGAAGAAACTGGAACATTCAGACAACTAGAATTGTCAGAACAATCAGAGATTAAAAACAGAAGGTAGAAACAGAACATTCAAGAGCTATGGAGTACTATGATCAAAGACCAAATCATGATCATAGAATAATAATTTCAAAAGTATAGAAAACTTTTTCAATAAAACCATAACAGAAAATTTCCCAAATCTAGATCCAGATACCAATCCAAGTATAGAGGCATTTAGAACACAAAACACGTTAAGACCAGATAACCTTTGCTGGTCATATAATTATTAAGACACTAAAAATACAGATCAAAATAATTATATTGAAAGCTGCAAGAAAGAAACACCAATTATACATTGTGGCAGGTCAACTAGAAAACAGTATTATTTATTTCCCACAAGGCTGGAAACTTGGAACAATCTATCTCTCATTCTGAAAGACATGTGTCAACACACACTACTACGAATACCTAAACTATCTGTCATATTTTAAGAAAAAAGACAGCCAGGCAATGGTGGCACACGCCTGTAATCCCAGCACTTGGAGGCAGAGGCAGGTGGATTTCTGAGTTCAAGGCCAGCCTGGTCTACAGAGTGAGTTCCAGGACAGCCAGTGCTATACAGAGAAACTCTGTCTTGAAAAACAAAAAACAAACAAACAAACAAAAACAAAAAAGACAAGCATCCAACAAAACAAACAAAACAACAACAAAAGGCTAAATGAATTTATGACTAAACTATTCCAGAGATGATACATAAAGGAATCAAAGACAACATATCCACAACGCTACAGAAGAGACTATGCCACAACAGAACAACAGGTAAGTAAAGGAGTAACAGGAAACCATCAACCACACAGAATCAACAAAACGGGGTACAGGCCTTCCAATAAAAACTGAATCTAATGGTGTCAATTCCTCAATACAAAGACAAGAGACTAATAAACTGAATTGAAAATCAGAATTCAGGAGCTGCCAAGAGCTCTGTGGGGAAAGACACCATGCTTAACAACCCATAGGAGACAACCAACTCTGGAAGTTTTTTCTGACCTCCACACATGTGCTGTGGCACATAAACAAATGTAATTTTTAACATTAAAAAGCAGGTCTAGTCATAAAGGCTATACTTAGTGACCTTACAGCAATATAACTAGCATTCTGCATGGTGTGAGAAACAACCACCACCACAGTTCCACTGCACAAACTCTGCTGGTAAGAAGCTGGAACACAGCAAGAACCCTGGCTTCACTCCCTACCACTCCTGTCCCTAACGGATCTCCTATCTGTGGGACTAAAACAAAATAGTAAGATCCTTTAAGAAATAGTAACTGAATGATAATACTAAAGATTACAACATTTTAAGCCAGGCATGTGGGCACACATCCTTAATCCCAGCATGTGAGAGGCAAAGGTAGGTGAATCTCTGTGCATATGAGGCCAGGCTGGTCTACACAGAGTTCCAGAACAGCCAGGATACTGAAAGAAACCCTGTCCTGACTAAAAAACAAACACAAACACACAAATAAAAATCATAGCATTTTAAACCAAAATAAAAACCATACCATCTATGAAATGTAGTCATATGATTAACTGAGAAATTTTCTCAATTATCTTCTGTGCAGCTACTACACTTAGAGGGTTTTTTATTTTGTTTTGTTTTTTTGTGAGGAAAACTAAAATTTAGCAGAATGAGGAGGATTTGGGATAGTTCCAAAAAATTACAATAACCACTTATCCCCTTGGAAAAACAAGTTATGGTAAATTAAGGTAATCAACTTTTGGTAGGAGTCTTACATGTCTATCCTTCCGTTCAATCAAGTCTTGCCTTTGTTTGCATTTCTGAGATGCTTCCTTAATATCAGTTGCCTGCAAAATTGAACCAGAAAGAAAAGGTTAATTAAAAACTCATTTAAGAAAATTATGTGGGCCCATCCATCCAAATATTTTATAAATCAACCAAAACAATACTTTCCCACATTGTAATTCAAATCAAATTCATAATTACCACCAAAATTACTAATGGTATAGGAAATCTATAAAGGTTACTGCTAAAAGTATTATGCTTTTTAGTGTATCTAGTGTATACTAACATGTACAGACACTTGTTTCCATGTTTTCCTGATATTTTGTCTGACTATAAAAACAGTTTGGTGGGGGTGGGTGAGTGGGGGAGCACCCTCATAGAAGCAGGGGGCTGGAGGGATGGAATAGGGGGTTTCTGGAGGGGAAACGGGGAAGGGAGATAACATTTGAAATGTAACTAAATAAAATAATCAATTAAAAAAACCAATTTGATGAGACAAACTAGATACATTGCTTTATTATATGAAGAAAGTAAGACCAAGCAACTATTAAGTGACAGCATGAGCATTTACAATATAGATGTGTATTAATTTGGAGCCAATGGCCTCTATAACATTACAGGGCCTCTTTGGAATGTTAGGGACAAAAAAAATCAGAGTGTTATAAAGCTTTCTGCTAAAAAGGGAGAGGGATAGAATATAGTAAATATAATTAACTGTTTATTCCTGCTACATGTTTAGAGGATTAATAATTTTAATATACACTCATAGACTAATACAATGTACCTCTTCAGAAGCCATAGATACCTCTTAAGGAAGACAATTCTAAAATATGTTGTTGTTATTATTATTATTATTATTATGTTTTTTGAGACAGGGTTTCTCTGTGTAGTTCTGGCTATCCTGGAACTCACTCTGTAGACCAGGCTGGCCTTGAACTCAGAAATCTGCCTGCCTCTGCCTCCCAAGTGCTGGGATTAAAGGCGTGCACCACCACCGCCCGGCTCTAAAATATCTTAAATCATGTATATTTCTATATAAACATTAAGAGTTATTTTGAGACTGTCTTAATAGCTAGCTTCTTTTAGGAATAGAGAAGCCAAAGTATTTTATATATAATTCTTTATTATAGACATTACTTTCTACTCCATAAAATAGCCAAGTTTTAAAGCAATATAGCAGTAACTTCAGGTGCCACAAAGCAACTATAAATCCACAACTTAATTATAACCAATTATCTAATGGTTATAATTAAGTCATCAATATGACTGCCAACTATTATATATGTGAAGCTTTGAGACTTAATGATCCTTAACCATAAAGTGAGAAGACCTGTTAAAGAACTAGAATCTATAATCTTTTGTAGATGTAAACATTTTTAAATTTTGAATGATCAATTATGAGTCATCTAATGCACATCAGAAGTACCAGAGTACATGTCAATACTTAACTTCACTGCATTTATTTGAATCTCCAAAATGGCATTCAAAATTCTGAATCTGTTTATATTGCATTATAGTAATCTCCCCCCCCCAAATCCATGGTTTTACATTACCAAGTCTACTTGTCGTCAACTACAGCCTGAAAATATTAAATAGGAAACTAAATTCCAGGAATAATCTATTTGTAATTTTTGTGTGTCAATTTTTAACTGTGCACCATTATGAAGTCTCAAGCTGCCCACTGTCCTGTCCTTAACATCACACTGGGTGTAGCCTGTCCATAAATAAACTTATCATTCATCAGTTCTCAATTATCAGGCCAACTGCAGTTTTAAACTCAGATAAGCTTTATTTAGACAGTAATGGTCCCAAAACAAAAAAGCAGTCAATGCTGGCAATTCAGAAATGCTAAAGGAAAAAAATATAATGTGCTTTCTTCAGAAGAAATTGTGACCACATAATATACGTGTATGTACACATAGGAGGGAAATAAATACAAGTTGAACATCCCAAATCTGAAAATGCGGGATCTACCATATTTCAAAATTCTAAGCTTTTTAGTCAAAATGTTCACATTTTGGATTTTCACACTATGGATGATCAATTGGTAAAGTGTATGCAAACAGTGTCAATTCCTCAAACACTGAAGGATTAAATAATTTTGTACAAGGATATTCAAACTACATAGGTTTTGGAATTATCTTCAGTTTTAGGTATCTACTGAAATATAGTGGCCCCCAGCTAGGAAAAAACTACCAGATTCTACCAGGTTTAATCACTTTCAAAATACCTCCTTGTGCTGGCTAGTTTTTTGCTCAACTTGACACAAGCTAGTTACCTGGGAAGAAGAACCTCAATTGAGAAAATGCCTCCACCTGTACTACCTATAGAGAATTCTATAGAGCATTTTCTTGATTAATAACGGATGTGGGGAGGCCCAGTTCATTGAGGCAGGCGCTGTGCACCTCCAGGCAGGTGGTCCTGAGTTGTTGGAGAGAACAGGCAGAGCAAGCCAATAAGTACTCCTCCATGGTTTCTGCTTCAGCTCTTTCCACTAGGTTCTGCACTGACTTCCCTAAGTAAAGTATATAATCTGTCACGTGAAGCCCTTTCTGTCTCAAGTTGCTTTTGGCTGTGGTGTTATATCTCAGCAAGACACCTTTGATCCCTAAGTATCCCTGGAAAACTAAAATTCACCTCCATAAGCAATTTAAAGTTATAGAGGTACATACTACATTAACAAAAAGAACTCAGTGTTTCTAAGAAATATGATGTTGTTTGTAGCTCAAACTTTCTCTTGAGGCTATGTCTCATTCTGTAGCCCATGGTAGCCTCAAACTCAGTGATGTTCTTGCCTCAATGTCTCAAGTGCTTAGACAGACCTGAACCCATATGCCCAGCAACAATCACCCTGAAATTTCTTTAAGGTAACATTCTCCATTCATAACAAGTTTTTGAAAATCCTCATTAATTCCCAAAGAAGTGAACCCTAGAAAATACTTTTAAAGGCACCGGAAGTATTTTTCTATGTTGAATAAAATGTAGACAATCCCAAACTGAACAACTCAAGTACCTTTTCTTTGATTCGAACTTCCAAAGTGCGACGCTGCCTATCAATTTCCTCAATCCGTCGCGTCATAGGAATCTGCCCTTCTTTAAGTTTCCTGACCTCTTCCTTCACTCGGTCACGAATTAGTTTCACACCTTCATATTCCTGACGTACATTCTCATATTCCTTGCAAATAATTCAAGAAACAGAAGTTAATATATTAGGTATTTAAGTCAATGCATCCAAAAGTCAAAGTGTAAGCAGAGATTTTCTTTTAATTTATCAATAGACAAGATTAAGGAATAGGCAAACAAAAGAATTTCAGTTTTGAAAGGTAAAGAATGGGTCAAAGAAAAATACAAAGAAATATGCAGCTGCTAGCTCGATAAAAACAATGTCTGGGCTAGAGAGATGGCTCAGCAGGCAAAGGTGCCTGCTCTCAAGCCTGATGACCTGACGTGAGTTAATTGACATGGTGAAAGAGTTAACAACCTCCCACAAGCAGTATACATATTTTCCAAAAATGTCACTTCACAGGAATTGGCTGACTATTTGCTGAATAACAAGAAAATGGAATGCTAAAATAGAAATAATAAGAGTAAATAGGAGTTGAAAAAAGCTATTCCCTTCTGGCTGGAAAGATGGCTCAGTGGTTACAAGCAGGGCCTGGGTTCAATTCCCAGCACCTATATTATATGGCAGCTCAGATAAACACACATGCAGGCAAAACACCATGCACATAAAAAAAGAAATAAATTTTCCTGCTGAGAAGACCCAGGACACTCCTGGAGCAGTTCTAAACCACACTTACAGGCATGTCCTTCCCTCCAACTAAAAACAGAAAATCTTTTGAAAAAGTGAATAAAGTATGGGGGTTGGGGGAATGGGGACTGGAGACCTACAAATTTTAAATTTAAAAAGTTAAAAAGATTGAAATCAATCTCTTCAAAAAGGAGTCAAAAGACTTCAAAAGATAAAATGAAAAATAGTAATAAACACAGAAAAATACAATAAAAAGGTATAAAAAGGACAAAGTTTAAGAAGAAAGAAATTGCCAAGCCTGGTTGGAAGTAAGAATGCTATAATATAGAGACACACATTATTTTCATATTAATATGTATTTCCATGAAACAAACATAAAAATTAATGCTTCCATTCATTAAGTAATATTCCAAGCAACTCCACTACTTATCCCAAGCTGGTCATAGGTAATAAATATGTATCATATTTTAAACAGCAATGACAAAAATAGGAAAATTATAAAGTCTGAGAAGACAGTTAAGATACTTCAGCTACATATGGCATACCTCAACTAAATTTTTAGTGACATACACACACAAAAATATTTTCAGTGGCACTAAATGACAGTCCTTGCTTTGGAAATTTACTTTTTAATGTGAACAATACCTTAGATCATTAACATTAAGGGGAAAAAAGTAAAGAACTGCTAAAGACTAAAACCTGAAGAACTGATGTTAGTAACTCAATCAACTGTGATAATTAGCATATAGCAAATAAAGAATAAAAAAAAAATATATGCATACATGTATAAAATTTTAAGAAATATCTAACCTTAATACAAAATGAGTGCCTATTTATATAGACATACTTTGTAGGTACTCAGTCATTTATTAGTTTTGTTTTGGTGATTTCTTTTTGCTTGGGTTTTTTTGGGGGGAGGGTGGAGTCAACTTCACACAAGCTGGCTTCATCTGAGAAGGAACCTCAATTGAGAGAATGCGTCCATTAGACTGACCCACAGGTTTAAAATTATGATTGCTATAGTAGGACCCAGCCTACTGTGGTTGATGCCATCCCTGGGTCAGGAAGTCTGAGGATATAAAGAAAGCAGTCTGAGGACGAAATGGAGAACAAGGCAGTAAGCAGCATTCCTCCATGGCCTCTGATTCAGTTCCTGTCTGCAGGTTCCTTCCTGTCTAGAGTTCTTGCCCTGACATCCCTTCAAAATGGACCCTGACTATAAATAGAAAAAAGCCTTTCTCCCCAAGTTCCTTTTGGTCAGTGTTTATCATAGCAATGGAAAGCAACCTAAGACAGCTGATGAGTCACCTATTTTTCCCACAGATAAGTTAACACTTACCACCCATGGTCTTTTTGCCTCAAGCATCTCAATTAAATCTAAATGTCGTTTTCGTTCATAGAATCTTTCCACATCTTGTTTGTACCTTTCATTTCTCTGAATCATTTTCTCTAGGTATTCAGTTTTCTCTTTGCAAGAGGTCTAAAATAGTATTTGTTGACAATTAGTTCAAATGAAAAAAAGGACACACAGCAAGTCAAATCTTTTAACAATGAAATATAAGCAAAATTCCACAAGAAAGAATTCTGTAAGGGTTCCTTAGAACTATGTAAAGATGAAGCTAGGGAGAACGCTTGCCTAATGAGGCATAAAGTTCTTTCTATATTTGATCCCCAGCACTACTCACAACTAGACTAGTGATAAATACCGGTAGTTTCAGTGCTGAGGAGATAGAGGCAAGAGCATCAGATGTTCAGGGTCATCTTCAGTCATACACAGAGTGAAAGGCCAGCTTGGGCTACCAATGACCCTGGCTAAAAACAACAACAAAACCAACAAAATCAAGTGAAAGTAACACTCCAGCGAGAAATTCTGGTTCAAGATTTTAAAATACATTAGTCATGTAACTGTAAGGAAGCCTGTCAGCACCTCTGAGCCCAGAGCTTTGCCTAAGGATAAAAGCAATTCACTTAACACATTAACAATCTTTTCTTTGAAATGCATAAAGCTAAAAATGTTTCTCCTTTTGAAATTTATCAGATTCTGATATATGTCCATGGATGTTACTACCAGCTAAGCATCTGTAATCTGAGCTCCAAAATGCTCCCAAACTGCAGCTTGTATACACCTATATGACTCCTGATTTGGAATTTGATTCATTTTAGATTTTGCCCTGTCTGTCCAGACAAAAGCTTAAAAAAAATCTGTAAAAATGGCATATAAATGCAAAAGAGTATCAGGATTAACATGTCATAAATACTCAGGACTTAAGGACTTTGAGATGACAGAAAGCTAAAATTCAATCTATTGCATATTAACAAACACAAAGCTGTACTGAACAGCCTAGAAAAAAAAAAATACATGCTTGTTTCCTTCAGCAGGTAGAGGTAATTTAGAAATGTATTTCAGGTGTAAATATTAGATTGATGCAAAAATTGAGGATTTCTCATCAAGATCAAAGAGTTGAAGGAATACCAGACACAGAATTGAATAATCACAAAAATCCCAGACCAATTCTTTTTAAGACATCAAAATTAATCTTTTATTATAATAAGATACTTATCAACTATAGATAGTTATACTTAAAGAGAAGGTTATCTCTTTTGTTTTTTTTTAATTATAAAAAGATACCAAGCTGAGTAAGTTATATAGCATTTCTACGTATCTATTTATTAGAAGTTTTTAAAAATTAACACTTCAACTAAATTCTACTTTGTGTATAAAGTCTATCTTCATTTGACTTAAAGAAAAAATACGCCGGGCGGTGGTGGCGCACGCCTTTGATCCCAGCACTTGGGAGGCAGAGGCAGGAGGATTTCTGAGTTCGAGGCCAGCCTGGTCTACAGAGAGAGAGAGTTCCAGGACAGCCAGAACTACACAGAGAAACCCTGTCTTGAAAAACAAAAAAAAAAAAAAAGAAAAGAAAAGAAAAAAATACACCAAATGACATTAACAGGAGTGTTTTCAAATACCACATCCTTATCTTCTGTAAATCTCAAAATCTTACACAGTACATGGCACACAACAAATTGTTTGATGGGTACCAGATGAAAGAAAAATGTAACTTCCTATTGAGAGTTTCTTAAAATCTCAACTGGTAACATGTGTTTACTGAAATAGTCAAAAAGTTTCAAACTTTATATACCATTCTCACATTTTGTCACCAGTTGATGTTAGAAATACAAGCTTGGGTGAAAAATCAACAACCACAGTTACGAATTTACTCAACATACAGACATACTACCCATTTTGTAATATGTCTTTTTTTCTTTTCCCTCAAGACAAGGTTTCTCAGTTTAGGACTTGCAGAGTTGGAACAGACCAGAGACCCACCTCCCTCTGCCTCCCAAGTGCTGGGATGAAAGGCACCACCACCTAGTTATTCTTGCACATTTTGAGATACAGATTTAGTAAATGACAACAGAAATGACTTGTCTATTTCTAAATACCTCTAGCTGCTTCTCCTTCTCCCTGAAGTTTTTGAGTTCACAGTGGTATCTGTGCATCTCTGGAGGACCAATTGACTTCTCAGTAGCTTCAAGGAGTTCAATTTTGCTGAGTTTAGCAAATTCCCCAACTTTGTCCTACAGCACCAAAATTAAGTATTAGCAACTATCATTCATAAATACCATTAAAATTTATTAAATTTGCCAACATAGTCTCACTTAAAAAAACTTGAGATGTGAAACAAATCATTATGTTTGTGAGGAAAATAAGCTATAGTGTAGACACGATGCAACATTAAAATGAAAGATATTGGACTGTAATTTTAAACATAGATTAGAATATTTTTTTAAAAATCTTTAAAATGTTTCTTTATATCACCTATGTATGTGTGTACCTATGTGTTGGATTATGCATGTGAATGCAATGCCTCAGGAGTCAAGAAGGCATCAGATCCACTAGAGCGAAGATCAAGTAGTTGTAAACTACCATATGCGGGCGCTGTCAATCAAATTTGGGTCCTTTGGAAGTGCTTCTAAGAAATGAGCCATCTCTTCAAGTCAGTATATTTTATTATTAATGAACAAATAAAAATATCACTAGACTTTAGAAAGTACACCTACATATAAAAGAAGTCTATTCTAACCAACATATCATATAAATGCACTGATTAAAAGTTGTTCATTAATTAAAGCAGGCACGGTGGTCCACCCCTTTAATTCCGCACTTGGGAGGCGGAGGCAGAGGGATCTGAGAGTTTAAAGCTAGCTTGGTCTACAGAGTGAATTCCAGGACATCCAGGGCTACACAGAAATCCTGTCTTGAAAAACAAAACAACTATGAAAAGTTGTTCACTAACTCTGGCTTCTCAGGATCTCACATTCAAGAACTCATGGCAGCTATATCTGCTTGAACAAAACAATCAAGTCAGTTCAACATTCTAACTGGAAGTGGTTCATGAGCACTGACCCCTACTTGAGGAGCTACAGTAGGTAAGTTGCTGGCTTCTGAGAGAGGAGAATTAGTTTTAAGGGTGTCACTTCTGGTACATAAACTAGTGGATGGCCCAAACCCAGGAGTATATGGACTGCACAAATCTTGAGCCCACAGGTTAGTACCAGGAAAAACAAACAAACAAACAAACAAACAAAAACAAAAACAAAAAACAAAAAACAGGAGAGGTAGAAGTAGATATATCTTGAAAGAGTTAAGGGAAGGAAATAAAGAGTAAATATGGTCAAAACACATTATATGATATTGTTAAAGAATTTTCAATAAGTTGTTTGACTCTTGCAAATGGGAATTTGAAACTACTCTGTACTTAAAGTACCTTTCTTACAGGCTGGGGAGATGGTTTGTGTATACCATATAAAAACTAGGCCAGCATGGCAACCTGCCTATAATCCCAGTTATGGCAGAGACAGGGAATCTTCTAGCGAAACTCCTGATTCAGGCAATGTTTAAGTAAATAAAGTTGACAGGGAGTGAGAAAGACATATAAAACTCAACCTCTGGCCTCTAAGACTATGTGCACACACGTACTCAAATACTAGTACACACCACACACAGACAAACATGAAAAAAATATGTTTTCAAAACATTTTGTAACTCAAACTTATTAAATAAAATTATTAACACAATATATGAATGACTGAGGTCCAGTGGGCCTGGAACTCTATGTAGCCCAGGCTGGCCTACTAAGAACTACTATTACAGATGTGTGTCACCATGCCCATAAAAATAGAAAGTACTAAGAGTGCTGCTTTGAATGAAAAGAGCAACAATTACATACTTATTAATTGAAATAATTAACCTAAGTGATGGAATGCTTCCTTTTACAAAGAGCTACAAATACTAAGAGTGCTGTTTTGATACAAATCTAACTATTACTGTATCTCTTGAATAGTATTTATATTTTCTATGGCATAAAGTGAAAATACTACACACAAAATTTCCCCAAGTTTGGAGGTCTCCCCTTCTCTAAAGAGAGAGGTTGGGAGCAGGGGAGGTGACAGGGTGGGACTGGGAGGAAAGGGAGAAGAAGGTAGGATTAGGATGTAAAGTAAATAAATAAATTAATGAAAGATAATTCCCCATGTTCACTGATATTTTTTCAGACCTGAGGCAAGAACTGGCACAGATTGCCCACTTGGATGTTTAAGGCTGCAACTTGTTCTTCCACTATCTTCTGGGTTACAGGTTTTTTGTTGATGAACCAAAAGGACTGATTTTTTATCACATCAATTTCACGAGTGATTACAAGATTTCCAGAAGTTCTGAACCTAATTAAAGAATAATTGAAAAGCTTTAATATTCAAAACACACAGTAAATTAAGAATAGCATTTCTGTTATTTTTCCTATACCCAAAACCTAAGAAATAGTACTATAATTTTTATTCTTTCTGGTATTTTTTAATCCTTCCAACCTTGGAAACACTGGCTTTTTGTTCGTTATTACCCCACAATTAGTCATGTCAGTCACTATTTGGTTAACATTCAAAATTACCTAAATTGTTGAAATTAAACAAGTGCTAATTCTAATCCCAAAACACAAATTTATTTATCCTTTAATCATTATACTATTCATCAATCACATCCTTTGCCTGTAATTCAAAATGTATTAGTACATTAAAGACTAGCTGAAACGTCCTCTACTTGAAAAAATATATGAATGAAAACTGACTTCCATGGAATACAAATTTCCCCAACCAAAAACTCTCTACCCAAAACAGTAAGTCATGGAATGCTTACCATGTACTTCATTTTGAATGCTGAAAGAACTATATAATATATGCCTCTAAAGAACCATTTAGTAATACAGTATGATGGTTTAAATATGCTTGGCCCATAGGGAGTGGCACTGTCCTGAGGTGTTAGAGGAAGTGTGTCACTGTGGGGTTAGGCTTTGAGACCCTCCTTCTAGCTACTTGCAAGGCAGTCTTCTCCTACTTGCCTTCAGAACAAGATATACAATGCTCAGCTCTTCCAGAGCCATGTCTGCCTGGATGCTGCCACACTTCCTGCCTCGATGATAATGGACTGAATCTCTGAACCTGTAAGCCAGCCCCAATTAAATGTTCTCCTTTATAAGAGTTGCCTTGGTGACGTTATCTCTTCACAGCAATGGAAACCCTAACTAAGACATACAGAATCTGAAAAAGGGTATTTACTCATTTTTTGCTTTCAGAAGTACTTGCTTCACACTACTCATCTGTTCACTCATCTTTTTTACAAGATGCTCAAACTCAAGGACTTAAGCAAATCAGGTAAACTCTACTACTTTGCTATACCCTAGCCTAAGTATTTCAAAATTGGCAAAAAAAGAGATACTTAAAAATGTTACAGACTACAATTTCTCTCGCCCTCTCTTTGGTGTATGTTTGTCTGTTTTAGACAAGTAGTCCAGGCTTACCTTGAATTTGTTATCTAGTGGAAAATGACCTTGAATTCCTGATACTTCTGAACAGCATCAAGTCCTTACTTTCCTGCTCTACCTCCTAAGTGCTGGAATTCTGAAATGTACCATCAGACCTGACTACAACTTCTCAGTGTATATTAATCAGTCATATACCTTTATTACTTCATTAAACTACAATTTCTTGAGTACTTTACAAGATAAATTTTTTAAAATTTGTTTTTAAGAGACACATTAAAAAGTATATTTGCCACAATATTACATTAATATTCTTTTCCAAAGTCATCAAGAAAGCATAGATACAAGCTGAAAAATTATACTAAAAAGAAGTGTTAACACTTACAGTTCAATTTCAACCAAACCTTTGGAACATCCTCTTTTCACGAAAAACCCAACCTACAGTGTAAGAAGAAAAAGTGAGTTGTGTCAGTGGTATTTCCAGGTAAACAATCAGAGTGCTAGAAGAGTCATTACTCTACACCAAATCAGACTTTTTCAGTAACCACATGAATGTACAGGCCAGGTCCTTCCACTCTTCTTGCACTACAAAAATTACAGCAGTTAAATTATGGGTCATTTCAGTGCTAGGCAGTTAAGACTCTCACAAAGCTGCTAACAAGGCGATAAAATGGAAGAGGAAGGATTTGGTAATCCTTCTCCCAAGCCTATGTACTATGAACATTCAGAACAAGTCCTATACTACAACTACAAAGCTCTATACCACATCTACCACTGTTGCAGACCCCCACAGAGGTGCATAGATTAAACATTAACAAGCACTCTAATAGTACCTATTCTGATTTTAAGACAGACTTGCCATGAAGTACCTTTCAAAAATAAAATGATGATTTACATAGTAAAATAAGATCTGATAATTATGAGCTTAAACACAAAACAGAGTGAAGGACTAAAAACATCAAATTGAATCTTAAGTTTGAGCTTCATAAATAATAAATACTAAAATGAAAGAACCCCTGAGCACTTGGTAGAGAGCCAGGAACATTAGAAGTTCAAGGTCACCCTCAACAACATACTAGTATTAGCCAACCAGTGTTACATGAGAACCTGTCTCAAGACACAAAACAAAAGGGGAGAAGGAAAAATGAATATGATCAAATATACTGTATGATATTATCAAAGAATAAAAAAAACATTTTTAAAAACAAGGAAAAGTGGCAACAACACAAAAGGAGGTAGGTACAGCATCATAAAGTTTATGTATTTTAAGGTACTGAGAGATAAATTGGAAAAAACTTGAATCAGAATGTAGTGACAAACAAAATGTTCCATAACTATAAATAAAGAACAAGAGCTGGAGAGTTAAGAGCACTTGCTGCTCTTCCAGAGGACCTGTGTTCTGTTTCTAGTAGCCATGCTGAGTGGTTCACAATCATCTAAATCCAGCTGTGAGGAAAAATGACAGCCTCTTGTGGCCTCCATAGGTACATAATCTCCCTCTCCCTCTCCCTCCCCCATCACACACTTTAAAAACACAGAATAAAAAGACCTTGCAATAATCTTTTTAATCATATTAACGATTTGTGAGAATGACTGTAAACAACTACCATTTATTATATGCTGCTAAGATAAACTGGGAACTTTCCAAGTTCAATTGGCCACCCTGAACTATATATCAATTTTATAGAAAATGAAATTACAGATTAAAAGGGGTGTTGGTGGTGATGGTGTTCCTATAACCTGAGAACACTATCTTTAATCTCTACTATAGGTTCCAATGACAACATGTTACACACACACACACACACACACACACACACACAATTATTTGGTTTTGACTGGCTAGGTCACTTAACATTGTTTACTCATAGAAAGATGATATCTCTGAAGGAGCAAATTGTGCACTGGTCTTGCAACAATTAAAATATGTGATACAAACGGGGGAGGGGGTGGGAGAGGGGAGCAGTTCTTATTTACTATAAAGTATCCATACAGGTGATTTAACTTATAATAAAATTTTATACTTACATTTAAATAGAAATAAAGTATTCTTACTGAGAACTTAGATTTCACTTAAACATTAAATCTGTAGATACAGAAGGCCAACAATCTGTATTTAGGAACCACTGCACTCTAGGGCCTCCCTTAAGTTCCCTACCAGTCCAAAAAGAAATGTGGTTTCTTTAAAATAAAAACTGCAAGGCTGGTAAAAACTACTACAGCAAAACCCATTCTAAATGTACAGAATTGGAGATTACAACCCAGGAGACCAGTGAAGATGGACTGAACTCATGACTTGACAAAGGATATAGAAAAATCCAAGCTAGTCTTTGCAAATTAACTATTTCAACCTCCTTATCTTTTAAATCAAAGTTTGATGTCCTGACCACTGTTAAAGGTCACAAGGCTAATTTATTAACAGAGCAAAGTATCTTTCTAGCCCACAAATATCTCTGGTATAGCTTGTTTTTTAAAAATGGATTTTAAATATATTTATCTATAATTTTAGGGAGTGCTGGTTCAATTCTGTAGCATTATTATTTATTATTGTTTACATACAGCTCTACTTCTGCAGTATTCTCAGCAGTTTACTTTAAGCTTTACCAAAACTTTTTATTTAACTTTTAAAATTTTTATTTTTCTGCAGGCAGAACACATGTCATGTCCTATCAGCTCTCTCTTCCCAACCAGGGCTTCAGGGACGGAACTCAGTTGTCAGCTTGGTAGCAATCGCTTTAACCCACTGAACTATCTCACTTGTCCTCAACCTTTTCTTTTAAAATATAATTTCATAACTTTTGTATATAATTATTACATCTCTGTTAATTTACTCCTAGGTAGCTTACACTTGCATTGTTATTGTCAAATCTGGGACTACTGTAGAGGACCAGAGTCTGGTTCCCAGTACCCACAATGAATGGATGGCTCACAATTGTAACTCTAGCTCCAGGGGGTAGGACACCTTTTTCCAGCCTACATGGACACACAGATATGTACGCTCTTTAAAAAACAAAACAAAACAAAAACCTGGAAGTACTTTTAACTACATCATTTTGTTCACTGTTAATGTACAGACATTCAACAAAGTTTTATCTAACCTGGTATCTAACAATCCTGACAGATTTCCCTACTAAGGCATCAGGATTATTTGAAAATTCTTTTTTGGTGAATAAGCTTTCTTTGTTTGGGATTGCTGTTATCACTTCTTTGTCTTAGAGCAATATTAAAATTAACCAGAACTTTCTCCTGAGACTATGAGTGTCCTTCTAGAAATTCTAGGTAAAAGAAAGCTCATTTGGTATACTTCAGAACCTAAAATGTAGACATTAACTTGCTTATAAAAACAAATGATTCTGAATTTTCTTAAAAATTATGTAACTTAAGTAAGCCAGAAATGGGTGTGCATGCCTTTAATCTCAGCACTTGGGAGGTAGAGGCAAGCAGATCTCTGAGCTCCAGACCAGCCTGGTCTACAAAGCAAGTTCCAGGACAGTCAGGGCTGCTACAAAGAGACCCTGTCTTGAAATGCCAAAAACCAAAGAGGAAATTCTGTTAACTCACCTTATCTGCACGTCCCATGAAAGCGGGTTTGCCTGCTAGTCCAAGGCAAATGGCACACACAATGCTTGACTTCCCTGTTCCATTGGCTCCGATAATCATATTCAGATGGGGCCCAGGAGACACTTCACAGATATCATATGTTCTGAATTGAAAAGAAGCAAAATCATTGAACAGAAATAAGAGAAAAACCTTTTCTTTGTAAATGCATCTTTTTGTTGCTTTGCATTATCACTGTCCACAACCCTTTTATAATTCATTTAAAAGCCAGCTAATGTTATTCATGTATTTAGGGAAAATGAGGTACTGAAGAGTCAAGACAGGGCCTTTACATGCTAGGTAAGTGCTTTATCACCTAGCTCTATCCTTAACCCTGTAAATTTGAAATAATCTTATAGAGGGAAAACTCTTATCAATGGAAAAAGTAACAATGCCCATGTAAAATAAGAGCACAGGGGCTCAGCATGGTGGCACGTGTCTTTAATTCTAGCATTCAGGAGGCAGGGTTTTAAAAACCTGGTTAAAACAAACCCATGAGTTTGGGGCTACATAGTGAGATCCTGCCAAGCAAAATACAATCCAAGTTTGAAGCCATTTATCCTCTTTTGGGAGACTATATCAAAGCTATTGCACTTATTTTTTTACCTCAATTTTTGTAAAATAATTTCAAAACAAATTTGTACAAGAAGCCACGGCTTCTTTCCTAATATCTTACATTTAATTTTTTAAAAAATTATAACAATAGCTACTTCTCATATTTTAATATTCAAAGCAATCCAAAAATTCTTATTCAAATGACAAAATAATCATTAAATCAATAGCTTCATTTTATCATCAATTAAATTTTTTTTTTTTAAAAAAGGGCCTTTACTTTACTTCCTTTAATGCTGGAAGAAGATTCTATGAATCCACGACAGGCTATGTTCTAATAATCCCCATTTCTCTGGGAGAAGGCAAGGATACATACACAGAGAGATCTGTAATCCTTATACACACCATGGCATCCAGAATGCTCTACCTCCCTGCACAGTTAGTCCATAGTTACACGAACTAAACATTTAATTTATATTCAGTACCTATAAGTTTTATATATCTGCTTCTGTGAGTTCTAAATTTAAGTGATTTTTTTCTCCTACATATTTTTAAGGTTCATATTTTTTTCACTTACTTATGTTTTTCAAGACAAGGTTTCTCTGTGTAGCCCTGGCTCTTCTGGAAACTTACTCTGTAGACCAGGGTGGCCTTGAGTGCACAGATCCACCTGCCTCTGCCAGTACAAGGATTAAAGGTGCAAGCAGTGATGTCTGTCTTACTTCTTATTAATCTGTGTTTAATTCTCATTATTTATCAAGGCAGCTTTGGCAAGATACGAAGCAAGTTATAACCTAGACATTTTTCTAGCTTGCCTTTTAAAATCCTTAATTGGAATCCATAAATAATATTTCTTCTCTAGGTTTTTAGTGCTCAGGTACACCTAACTAATCTACAAAAATAAATGCCAGAGTCCTACTAACACGCTAAATATATAAATAAATTAACAAAGCATACTAACTTTAACACTTAAAACTTTAAAAAGTCAGGTGATAACAAAAATATACTTGTGACAAAGAACGACATGGATACACATGGAAATCTAGTATCACTTGTTTAACACAGAGGTGGGGATGGAGAGATGAATCCACTGATGAGAGCTTTATCTTCTTCCAGAGGCTCCAAGTTTAGTTCCCAGCACCAACATAGTTCAGCTCACAACCACTTGTAACTGGAGCCCCAAGCAATAAGGTGCCTTCTTTTGGTTATATGTGTGTGTGCACCCATGTATGTGTGTGCATGCAACACAGAGACAGAGAAACACACGCGTGCGCATGCACACACAGTTAAACGGCTTTGTAACTTAGCCCTAGTTTCAGCTTTTTCCTCCTTTTTCTATCTCTACTCAGAATTCTAAACTCTATCTATTATATATTTCTTCAAGTTTCTTAACTAACCTGTGCTTCCTTTAGCCTAGAGCTCAACCTCATCTGAGTTGATTCACTCATGGAAAACCCCTGTCCTATCTCTAGTCCATCTGAATTCTCTAAGTCCAGCCTCATTACCTGCTTGATACTTCTCAGCCTCACTCTGTGACAACTTAGTTGTCAACTTGACTACATCTAGAATTAATTAAAATTCAAGCAGCTGGGTATACCTGTGAGGGATTTTTTTCTTAGATCTTCTGAGGTGCGAAGATCTACCCTTCATCTGGACCACACTTTCTGCTGGCAGCCTAGCTAAAGGACACAGAAGGAAGCTTGTCCTCATAGTCTGCTGACTTCCACTCTTGCTCTCACTGACAAGTCCATTCATTCACTGGCATCAGAGCCTAGTTCTCTGGGATTCTGAAGACCAGTGGAGACATCCAGTGTCATGGATAGAATAACTACTGGACTCTTAGAGCCACTGATAATGGTAGATAGCCTTTGCAGGACTAGCTGAACTAAAGCCTGTGAGCCATTTCATAAACGGCCTTTCTATATATGGATATAGATGCATTCTATAAGTTCTGTTCCTCCAGAAAACCCAAATACACTCCCAATCTAAAATCTTATAAATAAACAAAACCATACCCAACTGCATTTTCTACCTACTTTTTGTTTTTGCTGCTTTTGTTCAAGCTTTTCTTCCTTATTCTTCCTCAGTCTAAAAAGTTTTCTTTTGTACTACTTTATCAAAGGGAAAGTATTTTTCCAACTGCTAAATGTAGGAGGCTTCAGTCTCATTCCGAGTGCAATGGAGCAGATATTTTAAGTATTATTTTAACTAAACGTCTCTGACAAGTCTTCTGTGATTCTCATCTGATCTCCCTGTACAGATGGATCACTGAGTTCATTTTCTCTCACAATAAAGACTTTTTATTTCTCCAATTTGTATTTTCCTTTTCGTAATTTCAAAGACTTCTGTAACACCAACAACCACCTACACATATGACTCCCAAGTCTGTGACTTATTCTTTTCTCTCTGAGCTCCAGGCCTTTAGAAACTCCATCTATACAACTTTTCTCTTAGCTATTCCACAGTAAAGTTCAAGACAGAGGCGCTCAACTGCATTTATGACTTACTCTCCCCACACTGTTCGCTCTTGAATAACATCTGAGTGGTTATCCAGAGCTAGACGTGGGAAGAACTAGGGCACTCTTCCACTCTCATGCCTCAGAATCCACAGGCAGATCTTATCAAATAACCTTTCAGCCCTGCATTCTTGCTTTCTTACTTTAAATATTATTGCTTGCTATCTGGGCACCCTTTCAAAATCATACCCCAGGAGGATGCTGGAATTCCTTAGCATAGTAAGAGACAAGCCAGAACAATAGTTTCCAACCTTGATCCACGCATGTTCTTACATTCGATGTTAGGTCACTCATCACTCACTAAACATTTACAAACTGGCTTTCAGGAAGTTCCTTCTTTGTGTAACCATCTTCCCTTCTTTTTGATTTTAGTATCTTCTTCACAAAGCTCTGACAGTTGTGGGTGAACTTAGCTTTTTTCAGTCTTTGTGCCTCCCATGAAATCCTGGGTAGGTAAGTTACAGCAGATAACCCCATGGTACATTTACCTTTCATGATCTGGATTCAAATGAACAATTCAGCAATTAGAATCTACACAGATCCGGACAGAAACCAATAGCTTTGAGTTTATATCATCAACAAAGACAGGTAGAAATACAGTGATATGTAAATAAAACAAACGTACCCCTGATACATAAGTGCTTGAAAAAAAAAATGGTAGTCACTACGCTTCTATAACTTACTCAATCTACATTTAAGAAAAATACCTGGAAAGAATAACTCTAAGGCGATAAACACATAATGATATTTTTGGTAACATTTAGAATCTACTCAACTAGTTGGGGTGGGAGCAAGGAAGAAAGGAGGATTGGAAGGGTCAAGAATCTGCAAGGAGGTACAAACACTGGGAACACGATTTAATTTCTTTGGTACAGTCTAATCTCCAATCAACAACCATTACCACCTCATCTGCCCACTCGGAAAACGCGTACACTTTTCAAAATTTGCCACTCCGCTGTAACTGTTGCCTATCGAGTTTTGTGAAGTGCACAGGTCCCTGGCCGATTGAGGTTCGCAGACTAGAGACCTGGTCCCTTAGTATATCTACTGACGGCATCCGACGCATTCCAAAACCAGTGGGTGGATAAAAAACCATCAGGCCACATGTTTACTACAGTCAACAGGGCAGTCTCCACGGCCTAGGCAGGGAAAGCCTCAGGGTTAGCCTGACACAGGTTCCCCACAGCCGGGCACACCCCACAGCCCCGGGCCTGCGAGCCGCTTGCTCCCGCCCAGGCGCGGCCTGCCGCCACTCACAAGAAGTTCTCCATGGCGATGCGGACGATTGAGCCTTCGACAAAGAGTCCGGACGGCCTCGGCAGTGTCGACGTCGGGTTCGAGTTCTTTCTCTTGCTCGGGACCTCGGAGGAAGCATCTCTCGGGAGAGACCTCTTGGAAACCTGGGGGTTGGGGGTAACAGCCTTCCCGCTCGGAGTCGCCATCCTGGCTTCCTCCGCGTCCCGCGGCGGCTTCCGTTCCAGGCGAGCCGCAGCCCAGGAGCCTCCGCGCCGGGCTCCCGCGCTAACTGACCCCGTCTGACCCCGCCCCGCGGCCTTGACGCGCCGGCGCAGTTCCGGCCCGCAAAACTGAGGCCACGCCCCGACCAGCCGTGTCCTCAGAAGCCATAGATACTGGTCCCGGTGCAACTCGAAGGGACTGTAGCTAGAAGATTGATTTCCGTACGTGTCAGTATTTTCTTCTTGGAGAATTTTAACTTTAGAGCAATATGTGAATTGCATTTACTATTTGGAAACCTGTCTCGTCGCCCCTCTGTGCTTGGGTTGCTCGCTAGTTTGCGACTGTCTCTCCCAGAACCCCAGGCCTCATCTGTCTTATGTTCTACATTGCAGTTTCCTTCCCTGGTGCTCAAATGAACTCCAAAGAACATAAAAGATGCCTGTTGACTCTGTGCCTGTTGTTAGAAGCATAGCACTAACAACCGTCTGATGCTCTCAAAATCATGAAGAGTGTATTAATTACTTGCCCACTCACACTTCCTTGCCCTTTTATTGTATAATTTATTTTTATTTTATGTACATTGATGTTTTCTCTGCATGTATGTCTGTGTGAGGGTGTCAGATCTTGGAGTTACAGACAGTGGAACCTGGGTCCTCTGGAGGAGCTGTCAGTACTCTCTTTTTTTTTATTGGCTATTTTATTTATTTACAATACAGATGTCATCCCCTTTCCCCATTTCCCCTCCCTAGAACCCCCTATCCTATACCCCTTCTTCCTTTATGCTTTTATACCATTTTGATTACATGCATGTATTAAGGTCAGTTCTAGGTTGAGGGTCTAGCAATACAATAGATGCAAATGGTCAAGGAACAAGCAATACAATAAACACAAATAGTCAAAGAAAAACCAAAGCATTAAACCCAATTATGTGAACACTTCCATGATCACTGTTTCTAAGGGCAGTAGTCGGTACCCTTAACCACTGGACCATCTCACTAGCACCCAGCTTATTTATTTATTTATTTATTTATTTATTTATGACGGACTATATAGCTCTGGATGGACTACTGCTCACTATAGAGCCCAGGCTGGTCTTGAAACTTTTACTACTTCTGCTTCCTTAGTACAGAGGTTCCAGTGGAGGTCACCAGATGGCCTCTCCCTTCAGATTTTTTTCTCTTCTTCCTTCCTTCCTTCCTTCCTTCCTTCCTTCCTTCCTTCCTTTCTCTTTTTTAATTAATCAATTATTTTATTTATTTGCATCCCAAATGTCATTCTCCCTCTTGTCCACCCCCCCCATCCCGCAGCATTCTTTCCCCCCATTGTTCTTCCCCTTTGCCTCTGAGAGGGTACCTCTCCCTTGGTATCTCCCCTCCCTGGGGCATCCAGTCTCTACAGGATTAGGCACATCCTCTTCCACTGAGGCCAGACAAAGCAGTCCTCTGCTACATATGTGCTGGTGGCCTTGGACCAGCCCATGTGTGCTCTTTGGTTGGTGGCTTAGTCTCTGGAAGCTCCCAGGGGTTCTGGTTAGTTGATAGCTGTTGGTCTTCCTATGGGGTTACCATCCCCTTCACTTTCTTCAATCCTTCTTTTAACTCTTCCATGGGGTCCCTTCAGGGTTGTTTTTGTTTTTGTTTTTGTTTTGTTTTAGGTTTTTCGAGACAGGGTTTCTCTGTATAGCCCTGGCTGTCCTGGAACTCACTCTGTAGACCAGGCTGGCCTCGAACTCAGAAATCCACCTGCCTCTGCCTCCCAAGTGCTGGGATTAAAGGTTTGTGCCACCACTGCCTGGCCAGGTTTTTGTTTTTTTTTGTTTTTTTTTTTTTTTTTTAATTCCCTGCTTAAATTCTCAGGTTTCTAGAAATCCTTGAATGAGAATAAGCAAGCTTCCAAGCTTCTTTAGGAGTGGCTCTACCGTACTGTACCCATAGTCATCTCATTAGCCCTTTCAAAGATGATGCCACTAAGGCCCAAAAACAATGTTCACCCAACCTCTAATAAGTATGTGTAACCAACCGGAGACTAGGGTAATGGAGAGTTGAGGTGATGGAGAAACCATTGAATATGTTATGTAGTAGACGCCTGTGATCTAATTAAAGTTGTTCAGTCATTCTGTTTGCTGTGTGGAAAACTGATTGAAAGGTGTCAAATGTAGACCTGGGGAGGCCAGTTAGAAATCCCGTGCAACAGAGTCCTCTCTTGACCACTAGACCAACACTCCTTTATGCAGGCCCCTGCTTCTTTTTCTCATACAAATGGAATCTGCTCAATAAAAGTTATAACAAAAGAAAATATAATCTTTGTAGAAAGCATGTAAAGTTGTTATGGGTACTAGATTTATGTGTGTGTATAAATTAAGAAATAACTTGTAAAATGGTCCAGTAACAGGAAGAAACAAAAAGACCCAGTGTTTAGGATACTGTGCTATTAGTACTTCTATACATAGCTGGCATATTCTTGGCTTCAAGAACTTAGAGATTGCCAAGCATGGTGGCATATGCTTGCAGTCTCAACACTCAGGGTACTTGGCTAGGAGGATCACAAATCCTATCGAGGAGAAGGAGGAAGGAGAGTCAAATTCTGAAGAAGTAATTAGTTATGAGGAAATCTATTCTATGGACAAATAGGAATATAACCAGCAATGGCGGAATTTAGGAGCTTCAGCGCTAAGGGGGCCAGTTTTACCATTTCATGCCAGGATGAGACTTTTAGAATGCTGTTAAAATTATGTTTCTAGGGCTGGAGAGATGGCTCAGCAGTTAAGAGCACTGGCTGCTCTTCCTGAGGTCCCGAGTTCAATTCCCAGCAACAACTATCTGTAATGGGGTCTGATGTCCTCTTCTGGCATCATGCAGATATAGCACTCATGCACATAAAATAAATAAAAACAAACCTTTAAAAAAATTATGTTTCTAAACTTAAAAGTTGGGAACAAATCCCCAAATTTGGATGACTCCTGGAAGACAGTCATACTATGGGTTTTAACTGGCTAGTCGTGGTTGCCAGTGTATGTAAGAGCACAGTAAAGAAACCACTGAAATGGCCACTCAGTGGTTGGAAAAAAAAAGCTTATTCCAAACTGCCAAGACTGTCTCTTCAGGAAAGCAGGCAGGGGAGACTGAGGGTTTTTAAGAGACTGAGTAGGAAGTGGGAGGGGCCAAGATGTTAGTGTAGGGGTTGGGAATGCACAATGAGCATCTGTGAACGGGGATGGGGGAGCCTGGAGGCCAGCATGGAGTTTGATATGCAACCACAGGTGCCTGTCAGTGGAGCCATATGTTCCTTCTGCCAGTGGCAAGGGAAATGATTCCTTTAGGGGATAGAAAATCATTTCACAAGTTCCAGAGAAATGCTGGTTTTTATCTAGCTGCCTGGAATCCTTCTATAGTCCAGGTTGGGCTCATCTAGATACAGGAACTGCCTGAGACCTAACAGATACCATCCTGAAAACCCGAGAAGGTTGGACCAGCAAGATGATGAAGCACATAACTGGATCTGCTGCAATCTGGGATCCCTCCATAGAGAGAACCAACTCCTAAAAGTTGCCCTCTGACCCCACACCTGTGCCTTCACTCACACGACGCCATACTCATTACAAAAAAAAAAAAAGAAAGTCAATCAAAAACAATACCTGCTAAGCACAGGAATTTGGGGAGCACACAGGAAAGCAATTATAACGGGAAAAACTTATAATCCCTTTATTCAAACTATTCTTAAGATTTTAGTGTAGTTTTTTTAAGATATATTTATTTTATGTATGCGAGTACACAGTTGCTCTCTTCAGCCACACTAGAAGAGGCCATTGGATTCCATTACAGATGGTTGTGAGCCACCATGTGGTTGCTGGGAATTGAACACAGGACCCCCTAGAAGAACAATCAATGCATTTAACCGCTGAGCCATCTCTCTAGCCTTAGTGTAGTTTTAATACCTGTCTTCTTGTATATGTATGGTGAGTTCCTTCTGTTTCTCAAAGATGAAAATAATACAACACACACACTGTATTGTATATACTGTATTTTGATCATCACTTGATACATTACTTTTCATGCCATTTTCATAAAATCGATTTAGGTAATTAGTTAGAATTTTATTGAATACATTTACTGTTTTTGATTTACATAGTTATAGTAGTTAGATTCTGTGTGATTGAAAATTATTGTGAACCAAAGATGCTCTGGCAGACTTACATGTGCTTCTTAATATGCTTTAAATTTTTCACTCATGCATCAAAGTTCACATATTTGTCTTGCCGTATCTGGAGTCTTTAATTCCATTGGTAAGAACTACTTTGAGAAGCACCTTCCCCTAGTCCTGCTAGCCTGGGGCAGCCAGAAGAAAGACATCCAAGTGCCCACCATGGGCACCAATATGATGGGTAGATATGTGATGAAGAGATGGGGCAGATAGACTACACGGTGGAGAGGTGGGAGAGAAGCTGCTGAAGGGTTCTGAGTCCATGGCTCTGCTGTGGCTGGGGTCTGTGTCAATCAATGTCTGTGGCCTGAGTTACCACCAAATGCTAAGTGGACGTCCAATGGTGGATGCCACCAGAGACCATATGGATGTCTGAGGGTCATGCTGCCCATGGTGGGACATGCTGATCTGAGTGCCCTGCAATGCTGCTGCCAGGAGTGGGGGAGGGAGGGGCTGGGGGGTGGTGTGTGGATATCTGGGTCTGTGTTACCACCAAAGGCCATGCAGATGTCCATGGTCTGAACTGCTGCCTGAGGCACTGTGCTGAGCTGGCCATGTCCTCTCTTGGGTAGCACAGTAGAGCTGACCCTTCTCTTTTCTTCTTCCTCTGAGCCCCTCTCCTCCCCTTCCCTTCCTCCCAACCCGGTAACTTAAACCCTGCCTCCTTCTATTCTCCCCAGTAATTGGCTGTCACCAGATTTATCAAATAAAGGCTGATGTATGTGGGAATTTGCCCATCTTGTGGCAGCCAGATCTTGGGGTGCAATTTGCAAATTTAGCATTTGAATACATAGCAGTGCCAGACCAATCCCTAGCAGAGCTGTGGATTTCCATTGTGTGAAGAGACACCATGACCA